GAGCGAAAAATGAGAGGGAGAGAGCGCGCGACATGACGAACTTTTGACACATTTTGTTTATAACAATTGTATGCGACGGCTGTCTCTTTTTCGCACTTACCTCTGCTCCGTTTGCTTCAATTGTTTCTCTCTGCTGGGTGACTACAACTCAAAATTGTTTTGTGTGCGAAATCAGAAATGTTTAAACATTATTTAACACAAATACGTTCACACATACAGGCCGTAGTAATTTGTTGTTGCTGGTGAGGCGGTGGTGGTGGTGGTGATAAAGAGCCTTGCCGATTCGATTTCTGCTCTCCTCGCATTAAATATGTTTAGTTTCCATTACTGTTTGTTGTTGTTGTTTTGTGTGGTATTAATAAAAAATAAACGTACGCGAACTGCAGTCAAAGTCACTCACACAGGCACACTCGCACGCACACACACGGCATACGGCACACACAAACGCACGCACGCACACACACAGCAACTAGTAATTCTGCTGTGCGAAAGAGACAACATGAGAGCGCTTACGAAAAAAAATGTTTGTGTAAGTTTCCCCGAAAACGCGATTTCATCCGGAAAAATGCACTGCGCTCGCTTTCGGCGCCGCCGCGTTTAGCCACTTAATCACTTAATTGGTTCCGTTTCGTTTGCATTGTTTTTAGTTGGGGGTTTTAAAACGAAATTTAGTTGCCTGTTTTGTGTTGGTGCAGAGAGAGGAAAATACAGATATCGTTATCGATGGCAGGCCAATCGATAGGGCAACTATCGGCCAGCTGATTGGCGGGAAATCAGCTGTGCGGCGATAGTTCCAGTGTTGGGGAGAATCGGCACTGTCTAGTGTGTGAAAAATAGGGATTTTTTTGTATCTGGTACTACCTTGCTAATGATTGCTAATTTTGTTTTAAATATTTAAGTTTGGGTAAGAATTTCTCAACTGCTCATATAAAAAATGAATTTTCTTCAAAATCGAGTAACTCGAAGGGTTTGTTTTGATTATCATCTCTAATTTTTTTTGAAATTTTCATTTAAGGGCGCTATGATTTTTTGAAGTTAGGAAATGTACATTTTTAAATTTTTATTTAATATTTAAAAACTAATATATTCAATTATTATAAATTAAATAATAAGTGATATTTTCTTACGATGTCGCAGACATAGAATCGCATTATGTCTATTGCGGAGTGCAAGCCGCTAAGTGTCACCTGTACTGCCTGCCTTTTTCGAAAGACATTTCTACGGGGGGCACACAAAAGCAGGGACCGAAAATAACAGTTATTTCAAATTTTCCTGGCTATAAAAATCATCCACTTAGAAAAGTGCTACCAAAAAATCAAGAACACCAATGAGTTCCAAATTGGTCAAGTTATGCAAATCTGCAATGATTTTTATTTTGTGAGTTTTATTTTTAAAAATCAATGGTAATAATTATTTTTTGAGTTTTATTATAAAACTCATGATCAGGATGAGTAAAAAAAATAAAAATCATTAATAACGATCATGTTTGAGTTTTATTTTATAAAACTCAAAATAAAACTCAATTCGCTTTTGCGGCCATTGTATTGGGAATTTAAATATGGTTTAAATTGGTTCTTGTTCGTTTGGCCATGTCGTTTTAGCACATTTAATAAAAAAAATTTTATTTTTACATTAAACTATTTTAAAAATTGATTTAAGGTGAAAAATGTGCCTTTTTGTACGACTTTTTTGTGAAGGCAGGATAAATATTGGTTTTTATGGATCTGATAACTTTCGATCTTTTGCAAGATCTTTTAAGTTTTTCGCAATACAAAGTAAAGCCGGAAGAATTCACGAATTGTATTTGATCCGTTCTTTCATAAAATTATGACGGGAAAATATCATGGTCCTAATTGAGAATGCAGCAATATTTCAGTTATGTGACTGTTTTCACTATTCGCGATTCATTTGACCTAATGAATTCGCGTTTTTTTTTTACCTTAAAAATTCGCGAAACATTTGACTGAAGAAAATAAACCAAATAAATTTCAATCCGCCAAAACAAACGTTGGTCTAAGCGGGAAATATTGCAAATTTTTATAGAAAGTGAATAAAATTCCAATCCAATCATTTACCATATGGGCACTTCCACCAAAAAGTCCACCAAGCCAAAAACCTTTAAACTTGAATAAAACATATTTCCACATGATTTTGCCGCCATATTAGTTTCTAATTAGTTCGATCCTGAGCTAAACTACAAACTATACTTTGATTATTTTTATGACTATTTATGATTATTTTTTGGACCAGTCTTCTGTTGTTAATTTATCCTATAGGAATGCTTATATGTGACATATACAGAATGCATTAGTGCACATCATTGACATGTACCCCATAGTTCCGGTTTTATCAATACTGAAGCCCCCATCAAGAGAAAAATAGAAATAAAAAAAATCAGGTCGCAATAATCCATAAAAATTTATTAATAATAGCACTTCTTTAAAGAAATTCCTGTAAAAATTTTATATATTGTTTAGTTTTACAAATATAAGTTTTTTTAAAGCTATTGGCGATAAATTGCAGCGAAGATCAGTTAACACCATTTTGAGGGCCGAAAAGCTTCTTTCCACGCTCACTTGCGTGGCGGGCACGGCGTGTACCACCTTAGCCAACTGGTAAAGATTTGGTAACTGGAATTTTTTTTTTCCAATATTTGTCCTGCCTTCACAAAAAAGTCGTACAAAAAGGCCCATTTTTCACCTTAAATCAATTTTTAAAATAGTTTAATGTAAAAATAAAATTTTTTTTATTAAATGTGCTAAAACGACATGGCCAAACGAACAAGAACCAATTTAAACCATATTTAAATTCCCAATACAATGGCCGCAAAAGCGAATTGAGTTTTATTTTGAGTTTTATAAAATAAAACTCAAACATGATCGTTATTGATGATTTTTATTTTTTTTTACTCATCATGATCATGAGTTTTATAATAAAACTCAAACAATAACTGTTATTTTTGAGGAATACAAATAAAAATCAGAAATAAGTTTTTCAGTGCGAGTTTTATCAATAAAACTTATAACTGTTACGGTCCCTGCACAAAAGTATGACTTCTGTGCACCTCGTGCTCAAATGTTTCCTTAAGCTGACTGAGGCCGCACTTCGCACACACGTGAAGCTCCACCTGCCTTCCGTGGACCTCAGCAGGTGGTTCGCCATATCCTGCTTCACGCGGCATATATGTACATAGACATACTGATTGCATTGATCGCAGAGCCTCCGGAATTTTGTCGGTGCCACCGGTGGTGCCGGGCTTGGTGGATCCACCGGTGGGATTTCCTCGTCATCAAGGAGCCATGCAAGATGTTTGGGTGGCTAGAACGAGAAGGAAAGTTAACTTCCACTTCACTTTAACTAAATAGTACTTCATCTTACCAAACGCTTATCCATCTTGATCCGATCGAGAGAATGTTGGTTCGCTAGATTTGATTTGTTTTTGAGAGACGTGGCATCCGAACCGAACAGGCAACGCAACAAAACAAAAAAACCAAAACCAAAACAAAACTGATCGTGATGTGATCAAGCTTGTCGAATATATCAGGTGGCAACGCTGTCAAAGATCCGTTATTCAGTTCAGCGGCACACACATACACATAGACATAAGACGGTTTTGAAAAAACTACAAGAGATAGAAAAAAGGATTGTATGGCAACTTTGTTCTACTCATCAAGACCTATGAACTCAGCAATTATGGCTTAAATCGGACATTCCAATCAAAAGTTATTGGCCGTCTTACCTACTTGTCTTACCATTTTCATCCGTTACCATGTTTTTCCTTTATTTTGGTTGTGCAGATTGTGCCATTTTAAAGTTTTTAATAAACAAAATGGACATGGACAACATGGACATCATGGACAGCATGAATTGCATGAAAAGCATGGACATGGAGGAAGATCGTGCCGAGCAGGTATTGGCCAACATTTCAGAAAGGTCAAGCGTTTCTTTCAAAAGAAAAAGGAGCAGAAGGAGTTCCGAAACTTACAAAACTTGTACTGCGAGAAGCGAGTTATGGGTATGGTACTTATTAATTAAAGACAATTAATTATAACAAATATTTAATTACAGAAAATTTGGCAATATTTGCACTTTTGGCAAAAAGCCAAAACCCTCAGGTCGGAGCACGTACGGAGGAGCATGGCTACGCTAGCGGGGGAAGGGAAGGAGAAGAAGTTGACGAGAAGCCTGGCACAAGCCCACAATTGCCCTACAGGGCAATTAAAACACATGGGACATCTTAACGTAAGTATAAAATAAAATAAGTTTAAACGCTGTTTGTTTAAAGGTTTATTTTTTAAGGATATAAAAGTATTATAATAGAAGCCATCGAGGCTGATAGGCTAATGACATTTCTCAGTCCTGACCATCCTAGTTGGCTGACGGTATTCTCACGGCTCGACGATGCCGGAAGAGAACTAGGCCAGGCTTATTGGTGGCGCTAGCTGACCAAGTGGCGAACCATTGCCACAGTGGACAGTGGACTCCTTTGATACTGGACAGGACTCGATGAGTTTATTAAAGATTGATAACTGATTTATTCAAGGACAAGTCCGATCTTCCGGCTCAGAGGTAGTCAAAGTTGGTATTCTCTTAACAACCACCTCAACAGGTGCCCGAAATGCCTATTGAGGCGTCCGTCTCTAAGGGAGTACTTGGCCCAAGAGAAAATTTATTCAAAAGGAGCTTTGATTGATATGAAATATGGCAAAAGGCAGAGAAAAATTTTAAACTATCAGAAAAGTAAAAAATTTTGAATATCAATGGACCTCTTAGTCACAATGATTTTTAGTTCTCCCGAGCTAGCAGCTAAGCTGCTTTCGTTCTGCTGTTTTGTAGCCAAAAGGTTTTATTAATGCTCTCGCGGCCCTGGTTCGCCCCTCAGTGTGACCGCACTGATAACGCGTTCTGTGACGAACAGCTGTTAGGGCTGCAGCATATAAGTAAGCAGGTGTTTTATTCGTGTTTTTACTTTTTTCAAAGACGCCATTCCGTTCGCGCTGCTGCTCAGAGTTTGTTTTTCGGAAGGCGCGCCCATTTCGATTAGATCGGCTTTAGTGCGTTCCGCTCGGCGATCGCAGAAATAGTCGGGGATAAACAACGCCGCATTCGCCGTATTTACATAATTTAGTACAAAGTAACGACGGCCGCAGCAACAACAACATGACGAACACCGACGTGCGAAAGAGAAAAGTAAGGCAAAAGGTTAAAAGGGTAATCTAAGCACACATTTTATGCCAATTTCATGGCGCTCTCGCACACACACACACATGCTGAGATCACACACAGGCAGATTCACGAAATTGTTGCTCTTTTGACGCGGAAGTAAAAAATCAAATGACTCGTAGATTAATTGTTTCAAGTTCTATTCGATTGTGCCAATTTTTATTTGAAATTGTGTTTTACAAGATATTTAAATTTAGACGGGGGACTGTCAAGCAGGTTTTTACTGGTAAACAATATGCAAATTTCATTTGATTAGGAAATACATAATGCTCTGTGCCTGGTACAAGATATTAGTTTTGTTTTTTTTTATGCCGAGCCGGCCGGTTTATATTTAATATGTACATTAGGGTGGCTCTTGCCAGTTTCTCATTTGCAAGGTCATTAAAGGGGCCGCTAAAAAAATAAGGAAAGTTGGCAACCGTTTCTGAACCTCGCTAGACAACTTTTTCAATTGCTTTCTCGAAACGGAACCCCACAGATCACAGACAGCAGATACACACGCCGATTTCGGGGGCGATTGGATCGTTTGATCTATGTGGGCATCGCATGTGGGTGGAGAACAGGATGGGACCAAACCGGAACAGGTTGCAAGTGAGTGCTAGAGTGCAAGATTGTGAACGTGGCCTTAACCCTTGTGTATACTCGGCAGCCTGTACTCGATACTTTGCTATTTGGCACCCTAGATAAAAGAATATTCTTCTCATTTTTACGTATCATTTTCCAGATAAGGAAGTACCCGCATAAATGAAGATTAGCTACTAAGTCATTAGGTCATATTTTTCATATTTTTGGGGGAAATGGAAATGGTTTACTTTAAAGAAATTTAATAACTTTTTGTTTTTAATTGAAAAGAACGCCGTTATATTACAATTAAACATTTCCATCTGACGCCAGATATTGCTAGGCGGTGAAATAAAATAATTCCGCTGCTATCTTACAGGCCCGATTAAAGCATTCCCCAATATGTATATGCATTTCCTTGATAAGCCCTAAATAGCATTTCATCGCTGGCTTCTTACTCATTGTGGATCGGCACAAAAGTCGCCCACGTCCCCAGTTATCAATTGATTTATTGATTACGGTAGGGTGCCCCTCGCAACATATGCGATAAGTTCACACCATGAATGTTTGATGAACGCTGCCCGAGTAAAAACTCATGTTAATTATTCCATCGGTGTAATTGCCTGGAAATTGTATTTTTAATATACTAATGGGTGTACTTAAGTATCTATACTCGCCCTGTCAACTCCATTACTGCTAAACCAAATATACTCTGCTCGGTGTTCCTAGTTTGTTTGGCTTTTTTCATCGCTCTCTAGCTATTTTTACGTCAGCCACTTACCAATAGCGAAACATTTGTTTAAACAATGGAAATTTCATCAGGTTTTGTTTGCGGCCACAACTTTAATATTTAATCAAGCCAAAATATCGCTTATGTGGCCCACTTATAATGGTTGCTAGTGGTGCCCAGACTTGATTGCGTCTTATCATTGTCATATCGCTAGAAGGTTACGTGATAACATGCCGTCTAGATTCTAAACTAATGGACACTGGTGTGCGGCTGTCACAGCAAAAATATGTAATTTAGCATGACTTTGAACTTTTAGAAGGCCCGGTTTTCACCCGTTAGCTAGAGGTGTTTACAAATTTCAAGGGCTATTACCTATACCATGTAAGAATACAAACTATTGCAAATGTATACAATCGAATTTTTTCTAGCTGTTGATAGAGTTTTTTTTGGGTTTGAATTGGAAATTAATTTTTTGTTTAATTTTCATGGCTTTGAACCGGTTTCTAGCAAGAAATAAAAGTAGATTGATAACGAATGATAACCAACAATATAAAAAAAATACATTTCATTTATTTTATATTTGATTTTGATAGTTTTTAATTTTTTAAAGTTATTTAGATCTATGTAATTGTTAAAGTACGCATTTATTTTAGCAAAGAAACAATACTTGAAGTAAGTTATTTAAAAAGTAACCGGTTTTTGTTGCCTTAAAACCCTACGCTACCGTTACCAAAGAGAAAAAGTGCGCTGCATCCCTGGTAAACGTTATCGATGAGCTCTGCTCTGCAGCCCTGGCACATGTGAACGATAAAAGCCCGTCGTGGAATGAAAAATGAAAACATAATCATTGACGTTTCAAGAGATAGCAAACAGCCAGCGTGTTAAAATTGGAAAAGCAAACAACTGAAATGTGTTCCAAGCAAGAGACCGGCTATGCATAAATGCTGTGGCACCAGAGGCAACGGAACGAGCCATGAAATACGAATATAAGCTGGTAGACCGAAAATGGAAACTAGAGCAAACAACCCAAAAAAAACTATTAAATAACTCACTTAATTTTCCTATATTTTCCAGCTGGCCACGGATGAGAAGCCGCCGCGGCGGAAAAGCAGTGGCTCCCCAAGTGCCAGCAGCAGCAGCGGTGGAAACCGCGGTCCCAGCGGCCTCAAGATCTCCTTCCTCTGCCTGGTCATCTCCGTCATCCTGCTGCTCTTTGTTTTCGGTGTGTACCACTTGTATTTTGCACCCCAACCAGCTCCCAAAGTTGTACTAACCAAACCCTCTGATTTTCCCACTGTTACCGTGCGTTACGCCCATGTGGAACCCCATTTTCCGACTCCCGTTCGCCGTGTTGTCACTAAAAAACCACCCATCAACCCGGATGACGACGATGCAGGCTTTGTCTCCGAGAATGCCAGTCCCTACTTGGCCCGCCTGGCCTCCCAGTTTGGCTACAGCAAGGTCCAGTATGCGGCCATTATCGATGCCGGATCCACGGGCAGTCGTGTGCTGGCCTACAAGTTCAACAGGAGTTTTATTGACAACAAACTGGTGCTCTACGAGGAGCTGTTCAAGGAGCGCAAGCCGGGATTGAGCTCCTTTGCTGACAATCCCGCCGAGGGTGCCCACTCCATTAAGCTGCTGTTGGACGAGGCCAGAGCCTTTATACCCAAGGAGCACTGGTCGTCTACGCCGCTGGTTCTAAAAGCCACAGCCGGTCTGCGGCTGCTGCCCGCCAGCAAGGCGGAAAATATCCTGAATGCCGTCCGCGATCTATTCGCCAAGTCCGAGTTCAGTGTGGACATGGATGCCGTTGAGATTATGGACGGCACGGACGAGGGCATCTTCAGTTGGTTCACTGTGAACTTCCTGCTGGGCCGCCTCTCCAAGACGAATCAGGCAGCCGCCTTGGATTTGGGCGGTGGCAGCACGCAGGTCACCTTCTCGCCAACCGATCCGGAACAGGTGCCCGTGTACGACAAGTACATGCACGAGGTGGTGACCTCCAGCAAGAAGATCAATGTGTTTACGCATAGCTATTTGGGACTGGGACTGATGGCCGCCCGGCATGCCGTCTTTACGCATGGCTATAAGAAGGAGGATTCAGTGCTGGAGAGCGTGTGCGTGAATCCCATCATTGCCAATCGTACTTGGACCTACGGCAATGTGCAGTACAAGGTGAGTGGCAAGGAGAACGGCAAGTCGAGTGCCGAGCAGCCGATTGTGGACTTTGATGCCTGCCTGGAGCTGGTGAAGAGCAAGGTTATGCCGCTGGTCAAACCCAAGCCGTTTACCTTAAAGCAACATGCGGTGGCTGCGTTTAGCTACTACTTCGAGCGTGCCATCGAATCGGGTTTGGTGGATCCACTGGCTGGAGGCGAGACCACCGTGGAGGCCTACCGCAAGAAGGCCCAGGAGATCTGCGCCATTCCCAACGATGAGCAGCCCTTCATGTGCTTCGACCTTACCTTCATCTCGACGCTGCTGCGTGAAGGATTTGGTTTAAACGATGGCAAAAAGATTAAGGTGAGTGATTGCTTAAGGAGTTTCATTCAATTTTTGTTTTATCATAGTGTGCCATGAAATTTCTGAGTTGTTTAATTCAATTCCATGTGAAATAAATGGAGGACCGTTTTCTCGTCCACCTGGTAAATTTAAAGTAGGGTTAAATCTCAGATTTACCATACGATTTCAAGGTTTTAACCCTACTTTAAATTTAACAAACGGACGAGAAAACTGCCCTGAATGTTTTTCTAATTCATTTCGAATTGAATGGATGAATAACTTTTATGAATTTTTGGAATTGAAATTTTTTTTCTGCTTTCTTTTGAGAACAAAAAGTGGAAAATGTTTAACAAATCAATGTTAACTGCATAGTAAATAAAATTCAGGCAGATTTAATCACAAAATTATAGTCCTTTCTTCTTCAAAAGAAATTGTCGTTTGAATTATTTCGGAATTCATGCCATTCATTCATTCAATTCTATTAAACTCAAAATTCAAATTCATTCAATTCTAATAAACTCAAAATTCGAATTAATTCCTTCATATAAAACAAAAAATTCAACATAAATCATTGAATCCATTCATGAAAGTTTCAACTAACTCCCATTTTTATTTGCTTTACAGCTTTACAAGAAGATAGATGGCCACGAAATCTCTTGGGCCCTGGGCTGTGCATATAATGTTCTGACTAGCGATGAAAAATTCAGTAATTCCTAATGCTCCTCCATTAGTCCGTAGTTGATAAACAAGAAAGAAAAAAAACATTTTAACAAGATTGTTAGCTGAAATTGTTTATAGAGTGCCTTAGACGTGCATCGAGTATACTACAATCACAGTACACACTAGACACACCAACCCGAAAAACACTCAGACATTGCCTATACATGTGGTCGATTAATATTTGTTTGTGCTCTGTAAAATTCATTTCAATTGTCTCTAATTGAAGCTAACCCACACACACACACGGTGACTACACTTAGCGCCTAGTTCGTAATTCCAATTTTGTGTGATTCGCCATTTTCGTAATGCAATTTTTTGCCAAGTTCTTAACTATTTAGTCCTTACACCCCCGGTATCCTCATGTACATAAATTTACACATCGATATGTATTTACCTAATTGTATAGACTAGACTATTAGCGCAAACATTTCAATTTGTTTTTCACATACGCAAATGTTAGTTTAATTATTTTTGCAAATAAATCAAATGTTAACTGATCTTAATGGTTATGTGTCGTTTATTTTAATCATGATAACTGATGTCTTGCTGTAATAAAATAAGATATTTATTTATTGCTGATTTCGATTCGTTTTACAAAATATATATTAATAATAGCCTATCGAGGGGATACATCCTGTGTAAATGCACAACGAAGTTAGGGAGCAAAGGACATCGAGTATGGTATTTTGGTCTTTTTACAAATAAAACTAAGAGAGGCTAGCGTGGGAATACGGTAGAGGTCTTTTCTGATCATGAGCTAATCATTGGCTACGTTCTGGAATCCCCTCACGGCCTCGCCAATCGTTGCGGTTCGATGCCCAGCCGATCAATGATGTACTGGGGCATGCAGAGCGTTGGATTGATGGCCTTCAGGCCGGAATGTCCCAACAGCGAGAGACCGCCGATGCCGAAGAGCGTGTGGAATATATCGGGCATGTTGCCGGTGCGATCGGAGAAGCCACCCGTCTCCGTGTCCTGACAGGACAGAATGAACTGCTGTAGCTTCTCGGAGCTGATCCAGTGCAGACGGCCCATGATGGTCAGCGAGGCGAGCACCCACCACGAGTAGCACACATCGGGCAGCTTCTCGGGTCGTCCGTTCAGCCCACCAGAGGGCAACTGGCGCTCACAGAGCCACCAGCCCAGTTTGTCCACGTCGACCAGGTGAAGGCGGTGGGTCAGCGAGAAGAAGCCCACGCAGCAGTAAATAAGGCCTAGGAAAAGTTGAAAAACGTTTGGTATGGGATCTAAAGAATATCTGCTTTTAAAGAACTAATCAAAAAAAATCTTTTAAACATTTAATTATTTGGAATACATTTTCATAAACAATAATTTTTTTTTTATATGTTTGCGATCAAAAATAACTATTTATTTTTTTATAAGTAGTAGTAGTGGTCTACTGGATTGCCGGATTTAGAACAAGGATGCTCAAGAATTCGCGCATTTTATAATTTATGGTATATATTTACATAAACAATAGTATTTTTTTTCGAATTTTGCGATCAAAAATGACTATTAATTTTTTTTTAAGAGTAATATTGGTTTATTGGATTGCCGGAACTAGAACAAGGATGCTCAAGAATTCGCGGTTTTTTTAATATATGGAATATATTTTCATAAACAATCATTTCTTTTTCATATTTTTGCGATCAAAAATAACTATTAATTTTGTTTATAAGTAGTAGTAGTGATCTATTGTATTGCCGGAATTAGAACAAAGGTGCTCAAGAATTCGCGGATTTTATAATATATGGAATATATTTACAGAAACAATGTTTTCTTTTTCCATTTTTGCGATCAAAAATAACTATTAATTTGTTTATAAGTAGTAGTAGTGGTCTTCTGAATTTCCGGAATTTAAACAAGGGCTCTCAAGAATTCGCGGATTTTATAATAAAAGATTTGCAATAGAGCTACTGTTGGTTATCTTAACTTTGTACCAATTTAAGAAAATTAATTTCCATGAAAAGGCTTAAATGTATAAAAGTTTAAAAGAAAATTATTTACTCAGTAAGAAATTTAAAAAAATCTATAAAATTCATAATTGTTTTTGTAATAAAATAAAGAAATGTTTAAAAATACTGGCACATTTTTCTGCCAGTGCTTTTTAATAGAGAAAATATTAATAGTAATAGAGAACTTTAAATTGAAATGATATTGACTGGAGGCCAATGGTGACGTGACTCACCCGCATGCGACTCTGCGCCCGGCTTGGAGCCGAATCCTCCGTCCGTCTGGTTGCAGCAGGACAGCACGAACTTGACCGCCTTCTCCACGTCGATGGTCTGGTCCATGCGGCCGAGTAGCGTCAGGGAGGCCACCGCACAGAAGCTGAACCTGGTGTCCACCTCGCCCCACTTGTCGCCAAAGAAGCTGCCGTCGGGCTGCTGCAGTCCGACCACGAATCGCACCACCGCCTCGCAGTCGATCTCCTCGAGCGCCTGGTAGGTGCACAGTATTTGGATGGCCGACAGGGTGTACAGCAGGTGGGGATCATGGCCCTCGCAGGGGGCGAATCCACCCGTCGTGGGGCACTGACAACGCTTCACAAACTCCACGACATACTTGCGATCCAGCCTGTCCAGCTGGCCCATTATGTCCAGGGCCGTGGTGCCCCAGTAGATGCCCGACATGCGCAGGAACTCGGTCATGCAGTACTCGTAGTCATCCTCCTGCTTTCCATGGTTCTCGATGTACTCCACATGCTTCCAGAACTCAAGTTTCTGGCCATCCGCATCGCCACCTCCACCGCCACCGCCGCCTTCGCCGTTCGAAGGCTTTACGAAGGTCGTGAAGTCCATCGCTGATTGCTATCAATTGAATCGGACGGGAGGGATCCTCTTCTGCTCGACGTTTCGCTCGATTAACCTTATTAATTAACAGGAATCGTTCTACGAACAAATAAATAGCCAAGAGAACCCAATCGACCGCAGCTGATTCATCTGCGCGATGGTTGGCAACGCGGCGGTGGCTTATCAAACAGCTGACCGCTGCAAGGGTGTAGAAAGGGGGGTTAATAACATTAAAACCCTTTTCAGTGGCTATTTTCAGCATCTAGAATTATATTTATCATATTACATTTAAGAAAACTAAATAAAAATATAATACATATTTGATTTAAAGTCTTGTTTTTGATAAATTACCAACTATTTGTGACACTATGATTTATCAATAGCTAAAAAATAAAAATATATTAATTGTTTGACGATATTGAACGCATTTCAAATGCACCTGCCCATTTTTTAAAAACATAATAAAAAATCTTATCTTTTTGCTAAAGTTGTTAACTATTGCCGGTCCAATTGTTTTTTCCAATTGTCCAATTGTTATTTCTCGTTGAATATCATTATTACAATTTTAAAATGGATTCTAAGAAAACAATAATAAACATTTGCTCTATTAATGAATATTGATTTTTTGTTTAAGCATTTTTTATTGATAAGTTATTAAACCGAACCTCTGTCGAACCATGGACGCCAGTCCCCTATAGGGGGTATATAATCATAATAATTATAATCGTCATAAATGGGTTGGGAGTTGACCAGTCCAAAGATCAGTACGGCAAGTATCAGGCCTATGAACTTCATAACGAGGATTGCTTTCAATAACAATGATTTAAAAACGGATCTTAATATATTCCCTTGATTCTACAGATAACAATCGGATTGGCCATACTTAATACCCATAGCAAAACAATAAGATTTTAATGCCTTAAGACGAATTAAGCCTCGTTGATAAAGGAAAAAAATTTGTATAAAATGTAATGTTGAAAATTCTAAAGTTTCAGAAATGTAGTACCTGAGATATGACAGATATGATTAGGATTAGAATAGTTTCCATTACAAATTATCCTTTTGTTTTAAGGTTTACTGGTTATAATTACATTCGCCTCTAAAAATAACGTGAAAAATGTATTTCTACAGCTTTATTAACATTAAATGATCTAGGAACAGACTGAGAACTATTGCACAAGGAGACTGGACTGCGGATCCGGTTCGTCGATGGAAAGGGAGACGATGTGCTTTCCGGGCACCATGACGTTGCCCAAAAGCCTGGGTTCCTGGCCCTCCACCAGGTACTCGGCGCACATGGACAGCACGATGTTGGCATCCCGATCGGTGCAGTTGAAGAATCCTACCAGGACGCGGCCATCGGTGATTACGATCCGGAGGACACGACCCAGCCACTTCTGCAGCTTCCTTCTTCCGGGTGTCACACTCGCATCGTTTATCTGGTGCGGGGCATTCGTGGTGATCCTGAAGGGTTCTGGCATCGCGGGTGGTGGTGGTGGTGGCTGCGGCAGCACCTGCTGTCCACTGATGCTCAGTTCTGTCATGGTTTGGTGGTTTCTTTTATTTCCTCAAAAATAAATAAGAATTCTCCGGTTTACTTGTGTTTACTATGCGCGATTTTGAGTTATTGTTGTGTATGTAATAACCAGGGCTGCAAAGAATTTTGAGTGGTTCGGTTCACTGGTTCCGTTCTTGAAATAAAGGATTCACAAATTAAATTTAAAAAAATAATAATAATAAATTAAAATGTCCTTTGTCAGGAACGCATTTTTTAATACTTTTTTTTAAACAATTTTTAATACTTTAAATGTTTGCCTAATTTTATTTGTAATTTTTAATTTTTTACATGTGTTATTGTATTTATAACAAGAAAGGAAGCTACCTTCGGCCAGCCGAAGCTTATATACCCTTGTAGATAAAAGAATACTCACTCGGTGCAGTTCCAGGGATTCCAGATTCAGCGTTTCGATTTATTTCAATTTTGTTTTTAAGTAGTCAAGAATCAAAACGCCTACTTCCTACAAAGTTACAATGAATTTTCTTATATTCGATTGGGAGCCTTAAGATATAGTGGTCCGATCCGGCTGGCTCCGACATATGTACTACCTGCAATAGAAAGAAGACCTTCGGGAAAGTTTCATCGCGATAGCTTTAAAACTGAGAGACTAGTTCGCATAGAAACGGACAGACGGACAGACGGACAGACGGACATGGCTAGATAGACTCGGCTATTGGTGCTGATCAAGAATATATATACTTTATGTGGTCGGAAACGTCTCCTTCACTGCGTTGCAAACATCTGACTGAAATTATAATACCCTCTACAAGGGTATAAAAAATTGGTTATAAAAATCAAACGTTTGCCTTAATTGAAACTAATTAAATACATAAATATGTTTTTATTTAATTAGAAAAATCCGGCTCATTGTATAATTGCATCCCTGGCCGATCAGATTAAAACATAAACGGTCACTCTTACGAATCAGCTGATTTCAATTTTGCGGCACTTTTGTTTCGCATTTATCTAAAGCTCTTTAATTCTCCCCTTAATTTTTTGAACTCCCCAAAATGACCGGAAAGGCCTTAAATATTGGCGATCAGTTTCCCAACTTCTCGGCTGAGACCAGCGTGGGAAAGATAGATTTCTACGACTGGATGAGCGATAGCTGGGCTATTCTGTTCTCCCACCCGGCTGATTATACGCCGGTGTGCACTACGGAATTATCCCGTGTGGCTGCCCTGATTCCGGAATTCCTGAAGCGTGGAGTAAAACCCATAGCATTGTCCTGCGACACCGTGGAATCGCACAAAGGATGGATCGAGGACATCAAGAGTTACGGCAGTGGGTTCGATTACGGTCTCTGGTGGGGAAATCTTCTAATGGGTTTCCTTTTTTTTAGAGCTTAGCAGCTTTGATTATCCCATCATTGCGGATGACAAGCGGGAACTGGCCCTCAAGTTCAACATGCTGGACAAGGACGAGATCAATGCCGAGGGAATTCCCCTCACTTGTCGCGCTGTTTTCGTTGTGGATGATAAGAAGAAACTGCGCTTATCCATCCTTTATCCTGCCACCACAGGACGTAATTTCGAGTGGGTATTTAGATATCTAGAATAGGAAATCCTCGATTTTACTTTGTACTTTAAATCTATAAATATTTATAATCACAATTCGTGCACATAAAAACTTAGAGAGAAAATTGTTTAATGAATTATAAGCACTTAAATCGGTAAAGCGTGGTTATAATGATAAATGCAAAACAGTAACAATACTAAACTAATGCAATTAGAAACTGAATTTAAGGTTCAATTAAATTGGTATTTAATTCCTTATTTTATTTAATGAGTTTTAAGCACTTAAATCGGTATACCGTGCTTATAATGATGAATGCATAAAGTAAAAACACTAAACTATTGTAATTAGAAACTGAATTTAAGGTTCAATTAAATTGGTATTTAATTCCTTATTTTTTTTTTTACCATTTTCAGTGAAATCCTTCGAGTGATAGACTCTCTTCAATTGACCCAAACCAAGAGCGTGGCCACGCCTGCAGATTGGAAACAGGGCGGCAATTGCATGGTTTTGCCCACCGTCAAAGCCGAAGATGTTCCCAAGCTCTTTCCCAATGGCATCGATACAATTGAAGTTCCCTCCGGAAAGAGTTATCTACGGATCACACCGCAGCCCTAGAAAGCCAACAGTTTTCTTTCTTGTATGACTTTATTACAAAAATTATAATTAACAACAAATAATGCACAATAAAGTATACGCTTACAACCGTATTTTTAGCAGGTCGGCGCTTTTAGAGCTCTAAAACTCGCCTCCTGCCAGACAAAAGTGCCAGAAACTATCGACTTACAAACTAAATCAGATGGGGGAATGTGACAAAAAAGGTCGCGATTTGTGTGTACAAAATAAATATACATATATAGACGTATAAAAAAGAGGATAAAGATATTGCAACTGGATAACCCTGGGGTTAGAAAGGTATAAATAAGGCCAACTCTGTACAATAACTGAAGCGCTTTCCAGGATAGAAGAAAGCTAAAGACCAAGCTCGTGCCCGTAACCAAAGATAACTGAAATGAAGAGGGAAATATTGGATTTTAGTATATGAATTTTTAAGAAATAGTTAAATCTCTGTTTTAACTGTTAATTACAAATCCTAGTTACTGATAAGAAGTCTAAACACAAGAGCCAAAAGCACTTTCCCTTGTTCAAATACTCGGCGATATTCAACAATATTCGTTTGCTTAGTGACCGTTTCCTTGAATATGTTAATGAAATGCAAATATGGATGTTATATGATGTAAATGCTTTCGCCGCCAAACAGGTTCCCAGTGGTCTTGAATCTTTGCGGGAATTCCTCTCGATTATAAACAAGAAAAAAATAACTAATCGGATTCAAAGTGGGAATAAACATATATATTATAGGTAATATTTAAAGATTCTAAGGAAACATATTTTCAAACGATTTGATATGTTTAGAGTTTTGTTTTAAGATATTCTTCACTTTTGTTATCTTAAAATCAGGGACTCCAAATAAATGTTATGAATTTAAAAAAAATTGAAAGCCAAAATAGCGTAAAAAAAAATGGGAAAAATACCACTACTTATTTTGAATATTTATTATAAAAAATAAAAAGTTAGACTTAATTTCAATTTTTATTATAATTTTTTTCTTTTCAATTTGTATAATAAAAATTGAAAATAAGACTTATTTTCCAATTTTTTTTATAAAAATCATTTGAATTACGATCCCTGCTTAAAAGATGAGTTTTTAATCCTAATCTCCCTTTGTACTTACAATTTAACTACCACATGTTCCTTCCTCCGCCTTTATAGCTCCCTTAGGTCAGTGCCTGCGCTGCGGAGTGCTCTGCAGCATCCTCGCGAAGCGTCTCACGAGGAAAGGCCACAAGATGAGGACGGCGAACCAGAGCGGGGAGATGTTCCTGAAGGGCCACCAGGCGGGCAGCGATCGTTGCTGTGCCACCGTTCCTTTCGCTGCCTTCTGGCCGCTGCGCAGTTCGTTGAGCGACTGCTCCAGGCTGCGCACTCGCTGCTGCACTGCACCCACATCGGTGTTCATCCGTGAGATGGCCGCCTGGATTTGACGCAACAAGTCCGTATTCTGGGCTATTGCCTGGGTCAGCTCGTGGCTGAGGTCGTAGGGATCGTCGTACTCATCGTCCGAGGGCTCCACAATGGCCACGCTGCTGTTGTTCGTGTAGTTGAGGGCGTTGGAGGCCTTGGACGCATAGCCATTGGTCAGCAGAGGAGGCGGCGGCGAACTGTGGCCATTCTCCTTTATCGTTTCCGAAGGGGCAGAGGCGGAAACGACGACTTCCGCCTCGCTGTTGCAACTGGAACCGTGCTGCGGGCTATTTGTGCGCGAATGGAAGGGCGAATTGGGATGCGATTCGGCCAGTTCCCGCATGCCAGGAGAAACGAGCTCCAGTTCGTCCAGGCTGATATTGCCCAGTCCATCCAGGCTGCCCACAAAGTTCTGAACATTCTCGGTAAACGACATGGTTTCAATGATCTCCTGGAGGCTCTCCACATAACGCTGCATGGCCTGCTCTTTGCTCAAGTGCCGGTTATCATTCCATGCATCCCACTTGGCCTTGCCCACGATGTCCCAGAAGCCGGGCTTCTTCTGGTCACAGCCTCCTTCGGTGGCCTGTTTAAACAGCCCATAGAACTTGAGCATCATGCTGGTACTGGGTTGATAGGGTCCATTCTTGGGCAGCCCCTTGATCACGTTGACTGCGGCCTGGAAACGCTCCTCAATCGCCGCCATTCCTGCAAGATTATCGCGAGATTAGTACCCTGGTACTTAAGATCGATAAGATATAAAATATAAAGACGGTGCCAAGTTCACCTTGCCCAGGTGAACGTCGCTTACAAATTACCTAATTATTGTGTGCAATCCGCCGTGTTGCAAACCCACTTTTTGGCCCCCCCTTTTGTTGTTGTCGTTCGCTATTGATTCCGAACCCGAATCCGCTTCCAAATTCATAAATTTTTGGGGGGCGACGACGTTGTTTGTGGATGCGCTGCTCTGGTGACAAAGTTCGAGTTCTGAAGTCCAGTCTTTCCGAGCTTCAAATCGAATCGTTCGGAGCTTTCCGTTGTCCCCCGTTCTTATCGACCTCGGCAATTATATTATATTGTTGGGGGCCGTGCTGCGCTCGCCGCTGGCGTTCAATTCGAGTTGCAATCGTAAAAACCAAACAAAAACTCGAAAACTCTCTCTGGAAATCGCTGAGCGCGTACGTGTGATGTGATGTGCGGGTGTGTGCGGGTTGCGCAGGGCTGCAATAAAAGTATCGATATGGAGATGGGTCGTTAGAGATGGACAGGTGAGCGGGAAGCACAGGTTACATTTAAAATTTATTATAGGTAAATACCATTAAGGGGGTAAATTAAAAGCTATTAAATACCATACTATGTTTAATAGTAAAAAAAAGAGATTCAAGTGCAAGACATTTGAAAACACTAACTGTCTAATAACTATTAAAAGTGCATGTACACAATAAAATGCAAAAAATAATATCTAAGACAGCCTTTAACCGCTTCACTGATAAATCATATAGTTAACACATTTTAATTATTTAATTAAGCTAGGTTTAAATAATGGCTATAAATGGGAAATATCGATAGGTATGCGACATGACTCCACCTCAAAATTCACCGCCATCTTTGGTATCTTTCGCCGTTGCCGCATATGGTCACTCACTTTTTCATTTCGTAAAAATCAGCAATCGAATTAAGTGCTTAATTATTTGCATTATTTTGAACCACGCAGAGCTTTCCGAAAGCTGTGGCCATATCGAAATACCAATATCGGACGGGGGTTCCCGACGCTATAGCACCAGAAATCGCAAAAGAAAGGCGGATTTGATTTCACAAGAGCTGCGCTGCGAACTGAGGGCGGAGTGGAGTGTCTGCCAGAGCGGAGAAAAGTGACTTCATTGCAATTAAACATGAAATTTGCTGCAACGACGACGGGAGTACGACATTTTTGTATTATCATCGCCCAGCAAAAGCAGCGCCAGCAGCGGAATCAGAATCAGCAGACTATATATAAGATACGCCCGCAGCAATCGCGATCGGAGTTGAACAATTGCAAACGGCAAAGACAGTCGTGTAGAATTGCCAAAAATTGGAAGCACCAAAGGTGCATAGGTGCGTCCTGATCGGCAACGTTTCGAGTTAAATAACCGAAAGCATAACCAGTAATTAAAATACAGCCGCATTAAAACCCCAGAACCCAAAGCCCTAACCTAAAGGCGAAAATCAAAATCAATAAATCGGAGCAAAAACACGTGCGTTTTAGTTGCCGCCAAAGCGACGGGAGTGTAGACACTTCAAGAAAGGACACTCGGCTACACGGCATCTGTTCGGCTTTTTTTTGTGTTTCGTCTTTGTGTTTGAAGCAGCAGGCCAAACAATAGAAACCAAAACGTCGTCGTCGAGCTCAAACAAAATACGTGAACAACGCAAAAACAACAGCAACATGCCGCGACGCAACAAGAAATCAGCAGCAGGCAAAGGTGAGTCACAAAGCGAAATTAGTGTGGATGTGTGGGTGTACACAGGAAGAAAAAAACAGGAGGTCTCAGAGATATGATAAGATAATACGGTTCATACAACCTATTGATTTTTTTTTTGATATTTTTATATATCTGAATTTCATTGTTTCCATTTCAAAATGAAAAATCATAAAATCAGCCCAAAATAGATCAATTATCTTTTTCGTGTAGGCGAGTGCAGGGGAAATTTTCACAGCTGCTTTCGTTATGACCTTTACATTAGTCATGCACTGACTAATAAATACACTGTGCACTGTTTTTGTGTATTTCGTTGGCTTCCAAACGATGTAAGCTTTTATTTTGGCTACCTACAACCTGTTTGGCAATACCCTCGAAATAATTATTTTCGTTTTGTTGCTGTGCTGGCACGAAAAAGCTTCACGCGCTCAGCTGGCTACGCAACAACAGTAATCAGCGGAACACTTAATATACATATAAACACAGCTGGGTTCAGAATAATAGATGTACTTAATTAAAACATTGTTTTCTGGGACATTTCTAAATGTTCTACAAGTCTTTTCTTTATTATTGAAATAAATTATTAACCTTTTATATTTTCTTACACTTTTATGTTTATACTATTTTAATCCCATTTTAAATAATTGGTGACATTTCAAAACAAATATTTAAAATTGTTATCTTATGCCTTCAAGCTATTTATATTTTTTCGTTGCTACTATCTTGCTCACAGCTGTAAGTGTATATATTTTTTCTTTCCCTCATACATTCAAATATTGGTCGCCATACACATGTGAACGTTCAATGCCAGCTTATCAGAATCACGCCAATAACAACAAGCGAACGGGAATACCTCAGTGTAGGGTATATGGGTATGTTTTCTTAGGGCCTGGGGTTCTTATCAAGACATTAGGGTTTCTAATCGAGTATTTCGTTTGAAAATGGTGTACATTTCTCTGAAAAAGATTTTCTTTGAGGTGTTTGTTTATTTATTTTCTAGTTTCTTTACTCTTCAGCAGAAGAAAAATGTTTATGAGGGGCAAAAATCTTGTTTAAAATTATACTAAAGAATGCCTTTAAATAGGTTGTCACGCGGTATTTATTAAGAGTTTCATTATTCCCAAAAATATTCAAATTTAAAAATAAAGAGGCGGAAGTAGTAGCTCACTAAGGAACTTATCTCTTCTCTCACCTTATCGGTGACCTAAAAAATTATGCAACTTAGTGTTATGCATACCGCCTTCTTTCCAACACAGATGGTTTACTCACCCGAATCTAATCCAAACAACTTTCAAACCAAACCAGCTGTTTTCCTTTTTGTTTCTTGTTACCGCATGCTTTTCTAGTTCGCTTGAGCTTTTTTTTGTGAAAGGCAAGAAAACACGAGGCGGAAACTACCTTGCCCCAAATAGAAAACAGGCGCTGGGAAATCGCCATAATGAAAGTTGTACTCGTCGACGGGTTTTCTTCGGCGCAGTTAGCCAGCAAACAAAGAGAAAAAGAAATAAAGAAAACTTGTTGCACAACATTGGCTCCCAAACTGTTTGTCGTGAAGGTCATTGCTGTGTAGCAAGGCATGTAATTGAATTTCTTATTTGTCCGTACATATATATATATTCTCTGAGTACACAACCGAATGAAAAGCTGTTTGAAGACGGAAAAGTCAGGCATACGAATTGGGTTGCCTCGTTTCAGATGGTTTGAGAAGCACTGGGGGTGAATGTGGTGACAGAATTCCTTACTCCATTTAACAAAAACAAAACCATTAGGGATCTGAAAATAGAATAGGCACGAGGTAAAAAAGAAACCCGATTTGCGATTAGTATTCACTGATTTTTTTTATTTTCGATTTTAAATATAAATGCGTCGTTTGCAAATAAGTGAACCGAGTAGAGTCCAAACCACTTATGCACAAATGAGGCCTTTAAATTTCAAAAATCTGCAAAGTAAGCTGAATTTTGGCGATACCCGGTAGGGGTATCAAAATATGTTTATTTTCATTCAAAATATTTAGGAATGTGGGTTGAATGACTCGCTGTAAAGTGCAAAAACTGCAGTTTTTATATTCTATTCGATGGAATTAATTTTAAACCCAATTTATATTCAAGCTATTACTATAGATATGCAGATACATTTAAAGATACTAAATGAATTTGTTTTTTTGTGAAATAATAATGTGTAATAATTAATTTAATTTAATAATGTTAATTTTGTATGAATTACTTTTATTAATTTTTGAACCAATTTATATTTAGGCTTTTTCTATATATTATTACTAAAGATATGCAGAAACATTTATAAATACCAAAATTAATTTTTTTTTGTAGTGGAATAATATGTAGTCCAAGTAAATATGGTTTAATATTTTATTAATCACTTTTATTTATTTCCACAGGCCGCACCAATGACTCCAATTCTGAGGACGAGTCCTTCGACAATGTGAGCGTTTACTCGCATGTCTCCGAGGTCGCCTCCTCGGATGCCACCGACGAGTTGGCCAACGAGCGTTTCGAGGAGAAGTTCGAGAAGGCCCTGGAACAGGCCACCGAGAAGTCGGCCCAGACTCGTGTCCAGGCCCTCCAGGCGATTTGCGAGCTGCTCATGCACCGCTACATGCCGGACTTTGTGGAGGACCGCAAGATGACCCTGATGGACTTTGTCGAGAAGAGCATCCGCCGGGGCAAGGGACAAGAGCAGGTGTGGGGCGCACGACTCGCTCCCCTCCTGGTGCTCCAGATGGGCGGCGACGAGGGCATCTCCAAGGCAATGAATCAGTTCCTCTTGAACACCGTGCAGGACAAGTCCGTGGGCTTCGATGCTCGCGCCAAGTGCTGCACAGCTCTCGGCCTGCTGAGCTTCCTGGGCTGCGAGGATGTCGGAGAGTTGGTGCAGCTAATGCAGTGCTTCGAGGCCATCTTCGCCGGCAGCTATTTGCGGGGCGATGACAAGACACCGGTTTCGGTCACCGCCGAGGCTGGCACTCTGCATGCGGAGGCTCTGAACGCCTGGGGACTCCTACTCACACTTATTCCCTCGGGAGATTTTGTTTCCTTGATGACCACTGGCCAAAATATGTTTCCGTGAGTTTTTCTTTAAAGTTAATTTTATTTTATTTCTTTTTTTTTATTTCTTTCTTATTTTCTGGTGCTACAAAGATTTTCTTTGAAATTAATGCACTAGTCACAAAAACAATATTAAGTATAATGAAAATATGTAGGCAAAATATGTATGGCATTTTATAGTAGAATTGTACACATTTAATACATTTAAAACAATTAACAATTAAAGCTGACGTATTACATAATTGTTGAAAATTTAATTTTAATTAATTGTGTTATTTTATTTTAATTTTAATTTTAATTTTAATTTTAATTTTAATTTTGATTGGTACTTTGCGATTTTAAAAATGTCATTAAATTGTACCTAAATTGCGTTGCGCTATCCATTATTTTATGTTCAATTATTACCATCATCAAAACCTGGTTTTTAATACTAGTATCCAAATATTAATATAAATTAATTTACAGATCTATTAAGAAGTTCTTGGGCCTCTTACAATCCACCCATTTGGATGTTCGCATGGCCGCTGGCGAGACCATTGCTTTGATTCTGGAGTCGGGCCGCGCCCACGACGAGGATTTCCTGGAAGATGACATCCCAGAACTTTCCGAGGCCGTCAAGCAGTTGGCCACAGATTCGCATAAATATCGGGCCAAGCGCGATCGCAAGGCCCAGCGGGCTACCTTCCGGGATGTACTGCGTTACCTAGAGGTGAGTTACCTACTTCCACCCATTAAGAACACGGGGGATTTTGTTACACATATATATTTAATGCACAAGTCTTGACGGGATCACTTCATGTCATTGCAAGTGAACTTCAGTTCGTGCTTGCAGTATTTGGCCAAACACTTGGAGTGATCGTGCAGCTTGTTGCGCATAATAACGCAACCGTTGCGACTAATGGAGTCCATGTACTCGCTGAATGTGGGCATTTTCCTATACGTGGTTGGGGCTGAGCTCCAGTGCGAACTGCTGCCGGATTCAATGGTCTGCGAGGAGTCCGAGAAGCTGGTCTTGAACGGCTTGTATGTCTTCAAGCACTCATCGTTGGACACCTCGTAGCCAGAGGACGCCTCCCGTTCCAGTTCGTTCATCACGTTCGAACGGAACTCATTGCACGGTCCCCGTTCGCTCATCAGCTTGCTGGCATTCTTGGACTCGTCCTCGGTCTTGAGGCTCTCGTATATTCCCTCCGGATACTCGTTCATGGCACAGTAGTCGATCTGATAGGTGGTGAACATGCGGTTCGTTTCCAGCCTGCGGCTCAACTCCTCCTTGGGCATAACCTTCAATCGCTCATATAAGTCCGGGTAAACGGTGCGCAGGATTTTGAGGAATCGATTCGGCTGCAGCTTGAAGCAATCCGTCTCCGCCGAGAAGGCCATCTTGTCCACTTGATCCTGGGTCAGCTGCGTGGGTATGAGACGCGGATCCACCAGCTTGCCCATTGGCGCAATGCCCGTCCACTCAACGCCGCCACAGTTCGTGGACGCATTCGGTGGCATCTTGATCTTCGACTCGTCCACGCACTGGCACTCTATGATCTGTGGGCCAGAGTGGCCATCAAGGCCCTGGGGTCGCGTGAGAAACTCGTACCGTTTGGCATTGGGCGGCACATAGTCATGTTGATAGGTAGACAGCATCATCTTGATAGCAAGTTGTATAAAAAAAAGATGTACAAAAAACAAAAGAGATGCCAAAAAACTTATTTTTTAAGATTTTTTTTATAGATTTATGATTTCAACTGGGAATTTCTGTCGTACATAGAATTTAGTCTGCTTGGGATGAAACTGAAACTAAAAATGAAATGTTTACTACTATAGCTAAATTATTTTGGAATATTTAGTCATGGCCTACCATGATTTAATTTTACATTTTTTAATTATTGCAGGAGGACATTTCGCCGGAAATTAGCATTCGCTTCGGTCACGAGTCCCTGACTCTGGATGCCTGGTCCATACACCATCAGTATTCGGCCCTGTGCACTGTCATGGGTCCCGGAATGACTTCGCAGCTGCAGGAGAACGAGTTCATTCGCGACATTTTCCAGCTGGGACCGCGACCCACGAACACCGGTATCAATGGCAACGCCAAGGTCAAGCAGTCCAAATTGGAGCGGGTAAGTTGATCGGAATAATCACCTAAATGAATTAATATTTATAATCTCTTTAATATTCTAGCACCTTGTGAACGCTGCTGCATTCAAGGCACGCTCCATTACGCGTGGAAAGAACCGCGACAAGCGCTCGGCCGTCGTCACTTAAATCAATAGATACTCCAACCACTGTTCCCATCCACTGACCCCAGAAAAACCATCTCAAAACCCGATAGCCAACTCTGGACTTACTAGTTGAATTTGTTTCTAATTTTAGCTTAAACCAGGCAAAGCGTCGCCAAAGCTGAAAAAAAACTAAGTCTAAATTTAGGATAATTCAGGATTTTCTAACAAAATTTGCCTAGTTTATTAACCATGCGATGGAGCCATTGTTTAAATATTATTAAATATTTATCGCTTACACAGTACAGTAGTTTCGTTTCACTAACTGCAATGCAGGCTCCAGCTTGGATCTTATACTTTGTGAATTTGAATTTACACTGCGATTATTACGACTAGCTTGTAGGCTCTTCGATTCGGGTTAACTCTTATGTTGTTGATCTTTTTTTACACACAAGTATACAAAAAAAAACATATTTCTGCTTTAATGTTGCTAAAATAGTTAAATGCAAAATTGTAAAAGTTAGTCAAAGCTTGACACGGCTTTTATGTATGCATATTAAGTAAGCTAAATAATACATATATTTTGTAGTAAATACGTGTAAAATAAACTTTAGGCTTAAACGAAAACTAACTGGAATGCATTATTTTTGGGAAATGGTAAAAAAGGGAACTTATCTACGATTGATACCAAAGTGCACAAAAAACATTTTCTTTTTAGTTTTACAAATTGTATTTTATTTGTTTGTTTTATCACAAAAATTGTATGGTAACTTAAATTATATGTTGGATTTTTCCTTCTTTTGTGGTTTGTTGTTTTGTTTTTCTTTGCTTTGACAAATTTTGTGTAGCAACTACAATAAAATTTAAATATATATATTTTATATATGTACGTGTGTATGTATATGTGGGAGTAACTTATTAGATAAATAAGCTTCTTAATGGTTTAACTTAGGATTTAATAAGAAACGTATTCCAATCAAATACAAAGTAAAAACTTTTTTGCTTAATTTAATATTCGCCAAGTACTCGCGTTTTGCTTGATTTTAGAAAATGAAATGGAGGAAATCAGAATGCTTTCATAAATTAGTTGTAAATAAAAAAAACTACAAACTATAGATCAGCACGATGGGCTGACTCACTGGCGCATCGAAGCATTATCTCTCTAGCTTCCTCGCTCTTCAGGCTACTTGGCAACGCGTTCATAATCATAATCTCAGGATGTTCTCGTTTCTCTCGGTTTCGTTTTTGCAATTGATACTGACTGACCTACACTTAATCTACATAATATTTGGCTTCTTTTAATACAATTCGCTTTTGGAAATCTGCATGATAATTTGAGAGACAAAATTGACTCGCTAATCGAAACGTTTTTCGCTACTCATCTTGCTACTCACTAAAGTGTTAAACCTATGTACACAGTTGAGGATAAGTGGGGTCTGGTTCTAGAACCCTCCGCACGTGTGATGTGTAAACTAATAATTGAGCATTGAGCAAAACCTGTGCAAAACGCATGCTAAACTAGGTAAGTAAGTTGTAATGTCTGTAAGTTCAGCTGATGTGTGTGTGTGTGGGGTGATGTGTGTGTTATTTTTATCCTTGAGCGAATGTCCATTTAGCATCTTAGGAGGCCGCTCCCGTCCGTGAAGCTGATGCCGAGGTGCTGGCGCTGACCTCTTCGCAAATGGTGTGCAGCTTCTCCATCTCCGAACTGGTCACGATGTTGATCGAGCTGACTTTGGCCCGCTGATAGGCCACTACGGTGTTCTCGCCCAGACACTTGACGCACACGTAGCCAATGAGCACGGCGATGCCCACGGTCATCACTCGCACAAGCGGATCAAGGTACATCTGGATAACTACCCAGGCGGTCGCTCCGGTCACGCACATCAGGGTTATTAATATAACCGTCTTGGACCAATGCTGGATGGTAAAGCCCTTGTCCCATTCGAGTCTGTAAAGGATAAACGATTGATTAGTTATTTCTGAAATTTAATAAATCAATTAACTGACAATTCATGTAATTATTTTGTTATAAATGATTTGGCTTATTTCTTTTCTTTTTTTGTAGCATTACTATAACTTTTGACGATCATTTTAATCATAAACAGATTGATATGATATTAATGAAATGGTTTAAAAAATCAATTAGCTGACAATTCATGTAATTATTTCGTTTTAAATGATTTGGCTTATTTCTTTTCTTTTTGGAGCATTACTATAATTTTTACGGACATTTTAATCATGAACCCCAAAACCCTTATCATTGTACTAACTTAATTTGGCTGGTTAGCATGTCTTAAGTGCCATACAAGTTTTTTTTTTATCAGGAATAGCTCAAAGAAATGCTTCTAGACGGCTAAAAAAAATATTATCACGATGACCTATTTACTTTACACTTACTTTTTGGACTTCTCGATCTCGTAGGGATGTCCGCAGACCTTGCAGGACAACTGGGCCTCCGAGTTGCTGCAGCTCTCGACCAGCCAGCGCTTGAGGCACTCGTGGTGCACCGAGCTCACGTCGCCGGTGCAGCGACATGGCTGGATGAGGGGCTCCGGCTTGTCGGTGTCATAGCAGATCCAGCAATCCTTCTTGGTCAAAAACGACTGGCCCTCCTCGGGCGACAACTTGTTGGTGTCGGCATTTAGCGTGGGTATCGAGGGATCGATTTGGCGGGACAGAAGCTTGCGAGGATTCAAAATCCAGAGCTGTTCGGGAGCCATCGAGTTCCAGAGGCAGCAGGGAAACCACAGGGCCACTCCGATCTCGGCAATACGGAAAATGATGTCATGCCAGTTGCGCGAGTTAACAGGAACCCTTAGTGGAGTGGGAAAATCGAAAAGCTTTCAGTGAAAACGCCAGATGTCGCGCTAATTAAAAGTCTATACTCACTTTTCCTTCCAGAAGTCGCCCAAAGTTTCGGAGGTGAGAAAGCCCACAATCACGATGAGCATTACGGCCTGACTGAGCAGTCCGAATCGCGACTGATGCAACTGCGAGGCATTCACAATCGCCTCGCTGGGACCCAGGATCTTGCCCGTCTGATCGTAGACAAAGCCGCCGCGCAGCTTGAAGAAGACCTCCACGCCGTAAATGAGGAAGAAGACGACCACGATCAGGAGTAATACTGCATAGCATCCGTTGAAGATGTGGGCGTAGTCGCGACGCTCCGAATTGATCAGCGAATTGAAGACCTCGATGCCAAAGAGGCTGTACAGGAAGAAGTTGAAGGCCACGAAGCCGAGGAAGCTCTTCGACAGGAACTGCGACTTCTCCCAGCGGATGTCGCGCAGGTGAAAGATCTGCAATGGCGAACAGAACAAGTGCGAATGAAGTATATTTTGTGATTAGGTTTCCAACGAGAGTCACCCGCAGTTTCTATTCCAGATCAAGTGCTAATGTACCTACACTAGCCTCAAAACTTAATTAATTGGCGGGGGTAGGCCCCAAGATACGTTCCGCGAAAAACAATGAAATTGGCTCGAATTGCGGGTACAATTGCACTCGAAGCTCGTTATCGCGCATTTATTAGATACGAGAATGTATGGCAAGTACAAGTGGACGCACTTTGGTGCCATTGTTTGCTCGACAATATAACCACACAGCTGGTCAGAGCTACGTACGAGCAGCTCCCGGTTCCCAGAGTTCTCAGGGCTCCCAAACTTCGGGTGCGATCAAATATAGCGACGTCAGGCTGTTCAATCGCCATTTTGAAGCTGATTAGTTTTTAAATTAGTGGTGGGCTCGTGACTAGAAATACTACCTAGCTCTCACTTATCATGGAAATTTATTAAGTTTGCTTACAGATATACGTTATCTAATAACTTCGTTTTTGCCAGTGAAAACGAGAATAAAAGGAAATAAAATGCAAGTCGGTTTTCCGATTACATTAGTCTGAATTGCAAATACTCAATGTAAATTTAAATGGAAAATATCACTAAATGAATAAGAATGCTTACAGGTTTACAACGTAATCAGACGAAATCGATTTGATATATCTAACTTTGGAATTTAGTTTTGACTAGAAATGCTACTTATCACTTATCATAGAAATATATTACGTTTTCCAGTAAAAACGAGAATAAAAGAAAAGAAATTGCAAGTCGTTTTTCCGATTACATTACTCTGAAAAGCAAGTATTCAATGTGGATTTAAATGGAAAATATCACAAAATGTATAAGAATGCTTAAAGGTTTACAACGTAATCAGACGAAATCGATTTGATATATCTAATTTTGGAATTTAGTTTTGCATTAAATATTATAAAATTAAACTGGGTTCCAAATTAGCTATTACTTCTTAATTTCAATGGATGTTCTCAACCCAACCTTAGGTTTACAACGTAATCAGACGAAATCGATTTGATATATCTTACTCCTGCCATTGTAACAATAGTTTCCCTTCGGAATTTAGTTTTTCTTTAAAGATTTTACAATTAAACTGGGTTCCGAATTCAGTTTTAAAGATCTACCACATTTCAACGGATGCTATCCTAAACAATTTTCTTCCCATCCTAAAAGACGCCTCTCATCGTCGACTCACCTCGGCCCACATGCAGACAATCAGAGAGGCGCAGGTCATGAGTAATGGATAATAGGCGGACATCAGGGTTACGGCCCATTGTGGCTGCAGATCCAACTGAAATGCAAGTAGAACGATATGATTAAATGGAAAATTCAAAGGATTCCAAAGAGATTCCCTTACCGGAGTGGTAAAGTAGGCACCTCGCAGGGAGGCCGCCACAAAGACCATGAAGTAGAGCAGTTTCTGGGTGGTGATGCGACAGGCGCGGAGAATGGAGGGCTGCTTGAGCCGCTGGTACTCGGCCACGATGCAGATGAGCAGCTGGATGACCGAGACGAGGGCCACCACATAGAAGACGGTGGAGATTCCGACATAGTAGGGCAGATTGAAGATGTCGCACTCATTGCCCGCATAGCGAATGTCGCAGACGCAGGTGTTGTTGACGCAATCGCCCCGTCCGGAGCAGCTGAGATCGTTGTCGGGCGTAAAGGGTCCGTAGATGCCCCCGGCCGGCGACTTGCTGTGCCCATTCCTGCCCATCTGGCTGGCCGCCGCCTCCAGGGGCGTTTGCAGAACTCGCTTCGAGCAACGCATTAAGGTATCCAGGCTGGGCAGCATCCTATATTAAATCAACTGCAAATAGAAAAAGTAGACATCTTAATTAATACATCAAGGCTGCGCAAATCGCTCGGTTGGCTGGATAAACCAACAAATAACAAATAACAAAACAGCAAGGTACCCGTGGCGCGGAGCCAAAGGGTGTCATTTAAATAAACATTGAATTTGGTGTCTGGGCTGCTTGCGCTAAAAGCAAATGCAAATGTTTGCACAGACGACCCGGGCCAATGGTGGCATTAGGGGCACTCTAAAGGCTATACTCAAATACTAGAAGAAAACCATGCACAAATAAATTAAAGAGATTGTAGAATAAGTATTGGTTTTTATTCTAAAAATTTAAAAAGAAAAAAGCATACACAATGTAGTTAGTTTGGGATTAAAAAAATCTAAAATCTGTTTATTCAAAACGCGAATTCTTGAGTTTCATATTGTGAGATAAATTTAAGTGAATTTTATAACCTCAGCAAAGATCAATGGTTTCTCGAATCTAAAAAGATTTGAGACTCCAAGAAATCTAAAATCGAATAATTCAAAACGCGAATTCTTGAGATTCATATTTTGAGATAAATGTAATCGAATCGTATAAATTTAGCTCAGGACAAAGGTTTTATTTTCTAGGTAGAATGTAAAGACAAATGTTGAAACATCTTTGTTAAATACATTTCTTAAACTTAATATAAACATTTTCAACTTGATTTTGTTTAACCCTACTGAGTAAAAACCAACAAACAAACAAGCACCCAAGGGTGCTGATGGAATACGGAGGAACATTGCAGGAGGGTAAATGGCAAAACTGGGCCCATGGGCATTTGGCATTATTATGCCAGCAACGATTCTAAGCCAGCACAAACGTCCATCAATCAAAAGGCACACATGGCAAGAGACTGGGGCATCGATAATAATGCCTGCCAGCAACTTGACACCCACAATATCAAAAAAAAAAAAAAAAAAAAAAAAAACAATTCAACATTGGGACAGGCTACAAGCTGCAATTCCATTGAGCTGTCGTTCTATATTAACCAATTGAAATGTTCTTGTTGATGTGGTCAAATCCATTGATGTATGGCCATGTAGAGAGGCACATGGGGTAGGGAAAACTCAACCGAGAACACTTACACATTAAATGGGATATTAATTACAGTAAAATGCTTAATAACCTTTTTTTCAGCTAATTGCTACATTTGTTTTTAATGGTTATGGGGTCGTTGTTTCCGTCACAGCTATTATTTTTGCTAGCCCGAACTGAGTGCAAGTATTTTTATCGTTGATAAGAACTTTTCTTAGAAAAAGCTTCTTTCTTTTAATGGCTGTTTATAGCTATTTAGAAAAAATAAATCCGTAAACAAAATGTCTTAAATTGCCTGCCAAGGTTATAAAATAGATATATATTTAGAGATATTGCAAATCTCCGAATTAAAACTTTCATAGCTTGAGAGGATTAGTATTATCATTACAAAAAAATGTTAATAATAAATATGAATTACATAGGCTCACAGTAATATATACTACTTTGTTTATACATTTATGTTGAATATTCCTATTGTTCAACAATTTGAGGCCAATTTTTTCGTCCAGAAAAAGCGGAAACCCAACCCTTGTGGACAAATATGTCTTCATAAATCATGTTTTGCCATATTTGAAAATCCATTTTAGGCCAAACACAAATAATAAATTGAGCCGGCTCACAAACCATAAATAAGGTGTTAAGGTTATGCATTTGCACACACATTTGGATGTTTTTTCCATTTTAGTCGACTATATTAGTCTAGCTTTTGCTGACAACAACTTTGACGGCGACAAACTGGCGATAAGATAAAGCCAGCCAAAAGTCAAAGACAAAGCTAACTGAGAGAGAAAAATTGTACTTAAAACCTAAAGCTTTCGCACTAAAAAATTAAGAGTTTATCTATAAACTGCATAAATAATACTGCAGAATCGAAAATACTTAACCAATAAAGTTGATTCACTTGTTTAGTAGTCCGTATAATAATGAATGCATTGGCTTTACTTTTACCAAGTTTAATTGATTATGTAACCTTATTGTATTGATTTAATTTCTTAGAAACCTCTTTAGTTCAAGAAGAAATCGAGATAAGTGATTGCATTAGGTTTTTTGGGATTACCCGATAAAGATCTTTATCGATATCATTAATTATTATGGTTTTCTATAGTGAGTCATGGAAGTAACTGCGTTGTTTCACTTTTTTCAGTAATATATTTAATATTTCTGAGCTTTGATAAGAAATAAACTTTTATTTTGTTTCTTATTTTTGTAACTCTGGTCAAAGGGCGTCGCTGAGACCAAAAGGAAAGTTTATTAGAGCGGAAATATTGAAATTTACACGTAATTCACTAAAGGGGAAACGTAAGCAGTCCAGAGATGACCTGATAATAGACACCCACCATTGTAATATATTTAATTTTCTGCGTTTCGCTTTCGGTTTCATTTGTTGCACAGACGATCATGGGAAACCAGAAACTGCAAGTGCGTGACGGACATATCCATTAGGTTTTTGGTTTAGGGGCAGCACTATCTTCGTTTCCTCCGCGGTTTTGTATTGTAATAAAAATAGACCGAAACTATACACAAATCGCGGTATGTGGCGATATATTTATGAGTGCTTTGACTGCCAGTGCACCACCATGTGTGATTATTATTAGTTAGTGGAACGCTCCGAACGATCAGCGCCCGACTCGCAAAGTTTTCAGACTGAAGTGAGTATATTTACAGCCGATCTTCCCTGGCCGTTAGTTTATATGTGCATATGTGACTCAATGAGTGTATCTCTGGCTCTCCGATTCTCTTCCACTCAGAGTGTTGAATAGCTCTATCGAGGCACTTCTTCGAGTGCTGCGTACTCGTACTTTTTATTAACCCAACAGCAACTCGGCAATTAATTTCCATCACGAGTCGGCAGCCCGTCCGCTTTGGCTTAATAAATGTATCCATAAACAAACAGGCAAATTCTCGCCATTTTTTATCCCGAAAAGTTTCAGGAAATTGAAATAAATTTCATTTGGCCCTGGCTCTAACGGCCTACAGAGCACTCTCTTTTGAGTAATTAAGAAAGTAATATAAAAATTGCATAATAGCTTATCAGTAAATTGATATGAATGCAGGAAAACATAGTTTTGTTTTTAAACAGCCGAGATTAAAAAAGCTTGTTGCGTTTTCAGCGAGAAGGGAAATTTTATTTTGTAAACAAATCGATGAAGTAATATCTTTTAATTCCAAGAACAAACTACAATAATGAAAAGGGCACACCAAGTTAGTTTCTAGTTAAAAACGCATTGTTTATAAACATTGAAATTTAAAATGTACTAAATAAAAAGGAAATAGGTCAAATGGTTCCAAATAAAGTGCTAGTATTTGCAAAGAAAAAGTTCATACCATTTTGCTATGAATAAATATTATATTTATCTTATTTTACAATATTTTTTAAAAAAACTCAATTTGGTATTTTATTTTTTATAGTTTTATGAAATTAAGATATATTAAGTTGATATGTTCGAAGTGCAAATTTTACATTAATCACATCGGCTTTTTAATGATATGATATAAGTTAGAAATTACCCTATTTCATATCGATTTTTTTTTTCTGTCGGTCGAATGGAAATATTTTAAATAATATATTAGTTTTATCATATTTTTAGAGACCCTTGATTGTATATTTTTCTTGTAAATAACTGATCAACCTCCCCGTGCTGCCTAATCAAAGGTGTAACTCCCCTGCACACCAGAGCAAGTTTTATTTTTGTAAGAAAAAAAAACTCAATCTTAGAAACTAGTTTTTTGACGCCCGCAGCTGAGTTATATTCAACTGGTTTCAAAGATCCAGGTAGCTCTCTTGCCAGAGAGCCCCAAAGAGATATACATAAATAGATATAGAGCCCAAGCTCAGGGCTCTTGGTTGAACGAACGCTTAACAGAGTTGTGGGTTTGCCTGTGTTTTATTTACACGTACCGACAATGCAAACATATAATGTTGATCACGTCACGATACCACATATAAGTAAGTACTTCCCCCTGTTTTCTTTGTGTTTTGTCTTCTTGTCTAGCCCACTTTAGAGTCCGTGTTTTTGGACTGCACGCTATTTTGCTCGCCTGTCTCCATAATTGTGTCTCAAATAATGCATGGTAATTTTAATTTGATTACGCGCTCAAAGGTGCTCATGTACATATAAGTGATTCTCCCGACACAGAATATTAAATAAACAACTAATTGCTACGGCTTCCAGTCGCTGTGAGTATAAAGTACGAAATGTATATGGATGTGGCGTGCTTGATACGCCCATAGACGAAATTATGGTAAATGCTTGAAAACGTTGAAAGATAAATTATACTTATTTGTCCAAAAGGGCGCGTTGACAAAAGGAAAGTTTCTGGGGTGTAATTTGGCAAGTAGCAAGGAGCGGTTAGTTCTTCAAGATACCAGAAAAGATTTCACAACTGCGACGCAAGCTAGAGAATATTTGAATTTACGTGGAGGGGTCTAGGTGAGTGAATTGATTGATAATAAATTGATCAAATAACCGATGAATACCCAGCCCAACCCACTTGAATGGGTAACTCACGACCTTCAAATTAAAATTAAATTAACTGCTCTGTGATGCCGGCCTGTGCGTCCAAAAGTTTACTAGTTTGGCGTACATAAGTCAATTAATTTCTATTTAGCTGTCATTAGGGTTCATTAAAAGGGAAAAACGAAATAATCCAACAGAAAATTGTGGTCTCAAAGGCTTTATATCTAAACTCTCGACTTGCTAATTGAGTCTATTATAAAGTGAATGAATATTTTGCCAAATTCTCTTTTGGAAAACTTTCTGGCACGATTAAGGTGACAGAATAATTACTTTTGATTAAATCTAATTTGAAACTTTAAATAACCTATGATAATTGACTTGTGCATACATCATCTAATATAATTTCTTTTCAGGTTTCACTCTCCTTGTTGCATATCGTATAGAAATAGCCGGTTTAAAGCCAGTTAAGTGTTGATCGCAACCAAAATAATCAGCTTAGAAGCGGTTAAGATTTTGTTTGGGTCTCAAAAATTTTAGAGTTATCGGGAAATATTTATCAGGAGAATTTCCCGGTGGGAAATCATTGATTTAACTTTGTAAAGGGTATGACTAACAACTGTTTTTAATCTATGATAAGTATGACTCATTTGTAAATCACAATTAAGTTTTGATCTAATTGTAAGGTGATTCATGTGTAGAGACACGCGCCACTTACAATGCAATGTAAATAAACAATTGAGTTCCCATATCTTACCCAGAAATACACAGAAATACTGTCATATTCTTGCTTTTACATCACATATATTTTTTTCTACTATTGGTTTAAATTTTTTTAAATAAAGGAAATTTATTCATTTTCTTAGGACTTTATTTTCCCTATAAGAAGTAGTTATATTTGGCATTGACGACTGCAGATACGCCCCTAAAATTTGGTTTCTTATCGCTGACGTTCTTGTCTAGTAATTGAAGATAGACAAAATGTAATGATTAGATCAAAAAGTAAGTTCGCTTGAACTTTATGCGCAAAATTGATTCACAGTTTGGCGCATTATGACGAAATTTCACCAAAGTTGATATAGTATCCTATTTAAAACCCCTGCAAATGAGATTATTAAGTACTCGCAGTGACCAACGATTTTTGTAATGGTCTACGTAATGGGTTCATTATTTCAGACATTACGCAAATCCAAATGATTGACGTCGTCATTATATGGCTCAAATCGATTTCGCATTTAGATATATAATTGTTTATTCCCAACCCCAATAAATCAGCGAGTAAAATTCTAGGGGATACTACTAAAAACAACATTTCCATGCAGACTACGTATTAATGTTTATTTAAACAGACCATGCTTTTGGAATATTCTAGGGCTACGAACACCTTTTGGCTAAAGTGTACTCACTGAGTATCCATTTGAGGGAAGCCTATTGAGGGGCGGAATATGAGTGCAAACTGTGACCCACTAAGTTGTGCTAAGCGTAAGCTGAAAGAGAAGCGCTGATGTTAGCTATATACTCGATTGCCAAATGTGTGTCACAAATGAATATTTAAACCAAAAGACCTGAAGCTGAGCCATCGGAAAATAAAATAAGAGTAAGTCACCCACAAGGTCTCTCAAAAGCAAAAGGCAGAGAAACAGGGCAGACCAGAGGTTTGAAGAAAATATAGCCACTTTGTTGGGTTGGGGCCAAAAGGTATAGGTAATAAAAAAATATTATTTATTGCTTAAAAAGTCGTTTATATTAATACTGGGAGAACATAAAAAACTGAACAGGAACAGGGGTTTTAAAATCACCTATAAAGGTACCTAAAAGTATGCACCGAAAAAAAAGAATGTCCTGATTCAGAGTGGTTTCATCAGACTAGATGATTCAAAATATATTATTGCAACGGTACTTAAAGATAGCATCGAATAAATAATAATAAATCATAAATCAAATTTTTTATTTAGGGCCTACCATACAGAATCTTTGGGTAAGGCTAATAAATAAGCTTAACTTCTAAACAGATTCCGACTGTGTTTTTAAGGCATTTCCCTTTTTCCCCATCCCATCCAACGCGTGATTTTATATGGAATACACAATTGTCTGACTACATTTGCATTTGATATTCTCCGGGGACTTGCCTATATTATATCTCCTTGCCCCCTGAGTGGGTACTTTAGCGCGTGCCATCGGAACTTGGCAAGGCGAATCGTGTAATCAATGAAAACGAATTAAATGGAAATGGCAAAGAAGTGTGCAGAAAATGAACTTTTGCACTGACCTGGGAAAATTGCGAGCGTTGCAGACAAATCATAAGTGTAAACAAAAAAATTGATTTACTTTCCGTATGTACAAAGCTACTTGAATAAGAACACATGAACGCTGCTGAACAGGGGCGATCAATTAAACTGATTGAATCACTTTTAAATGAAATGTTTCAGCATTGCGTGTGTCGATTGGGAAAGTGAAATGGCACTGCGATCTCGCACAGAATCACAGTGGAATATTTCTAGTTTTATCATATTAAAATTGGAAATTTAATAAGAATCTTCTCTGATTTTACAAATTTATAATTTTATAAAAAGTTATATTTAAATAATCAACTACTAACAATTGGGTGAATGTTCGGTTTTCTGTAAAATATTGAGTAATATCAAAATTAAAACCACAATTAAATTTGAATATATACTCGGTTAAGATAAAAAATTTTTATCAAAAAAATAAAAATAAATAAAATCATAAAACCGATCTTAACCGGATGTTAGAATTTCCAAAAAAAATTCTGAAAAGGAAGCTGCCCGTCATATTTATCACAATTTTGATTGCTAGCGCTCTAATTTTAAGTTTAAATTCTTTGCGGTTTACATGTCGGCCTTTATCAGCTCGTTTCATATCGAGTTCTTTTTTATACTTCGCACTCTTAAAGAACGCGTCATTTAACGACCGTTTGTCATTGAAATCAAGGGTTCCCTGTACCCGCCAATCAACCTTTGGAAACATTTGGGTGCAAGCAAATAGACAGACGATATTTATTTGCGGACACCTAGATAATTTCAGTTTTTTTCTTTGGCTAAAAATGATAAAAAAAATCATATGGGAGAACAACAACAACAAAAACGAAAGCGCAAAAGCAAAAACAAAATTAAGTGATTGGTCGTGGTGTTTGTGTGGATATGTTTGTATGTTTGACTGTTCGTTGGAAGCCGTTACTAATGGCGAATGATGCGGCGAAGAGGAGAGCGGAGGGAGAGGCGCGCGCTCAGTGCGAATTGAGTGCAATTTGGGTGCAAGTGCACTGGGCGGAAAGTGGGCGGCGCACAGTGGAACGAATGAAAGAAAAGAAAAGGGGAGTGTGGCAAAAAGGAAAGCACACCTTAAATGTCAAGGTTTTATGTAAGCAATTGCCTGCCTATTATATTTTTATTTTTATGGGCTGCTGTAAAGTTAGATTTTGGCAAATGAAGCTGTTTCGGCATAGATCTTATATTATTTATTTTAATGACGAAATAGGAATATCTTTGGGAAGTCATGATAAATAAAAAATTTTGATGACCGATATTTTATTTTTAATTATCAGAACCATTCAAACTATAGTTTTCTTATCGCAAAAATGGTATGAATTTAAAAAAATTATTTCCGATTTTTGGTATTTAATATGAATTTATGAGATGTTTTTCATTTCATTAAATAACCCCATTTTAAGTGATTTTTATGCTCGCAGCCTAACGCATTGTCTCCCATTAGTTTGTATGTATGTAATGTTTATATCAGTGAGTCAGTTTGAGTACCGTGCACCTGGAATCGCTCGTTAATGAGTCAGAAATTTAGCACGCGACAATGCAAGAATTAAAAACATAAGGGGATTATTATGCTTTGTTTGGCCGTATGTATGTATGTGCTACCACTTGATAAGGAAAGGTACTCACCATATACTGTTTGCGGAAAAATAATGGTAAAAAAGTCAGGTAAATACTGTCCAAGTTGCGTTGGCTTCTATGTGGTTCAATGGTTCTTCTATTGCATTACATAAATATTTGTAATTCGGGAAGTTGCTTCACAATTTGTTTTTGCTTTGTTGTTTTTCTTTTGTCACTTTTTAAGGACGCGCAGTTCCGTTTCCAATTGGGTTCCTTTTTTATTTGTTTTGGTACCACCCAACTGCTTGTGCCCTAAACTACTACAACTACAACAGCACTGTCACTTTGTCCCCAAGGAGGGGTAAATGGTATTATGCTTCGCGTGGTTAAATATATATATCTTTTTTTCGATTCGCGACGCGACGAAAATCACTTGAGTTCTGACTTGCAATGAGACCGTTTGCAAATCTAGGGGTGGGCTAAAGTAGGGGTAACTATCGATACCTATCGCACTGGAAGATTCGCTGGAATTATTTGGCTTTCGGCGTACGGTCATACTGAGTAGCAACAATTTTAAAATTGGTTGTTTTTGCACACAACAAATAATAATTGCAATTATTAAAAAAAAAAAGTATTTCAATAATGAAAAGAGAATCATGAACCTTCATTAATACATCTTCGATTTTAAACTATCTAGTTAAACTAGTTACTTCCTGGTACATGAGACAAAAACTTAATCTACTTTTCTGTATAAAAACTGTTTAGAATATTTTTGTAAACCGTCTTGCTATAAAATAAACTGCAATACAACGTATCAATAGTCCAAACCTAAAAAGTATAATTGATATAAGCGAAAAAGCAAATTATTTTGAAACTAAATCCCGATTTGTTCGTTTAGATGAACCTTGGTAGAATTTTAAAAGTCAATTTTCACGTATACATGTCAGCTTGTTTACAAAACTTTTAAAAGTAATTGTTGAAGCGGAACCATCGATTGGAAAATCAGATCCGGATGCAATTGAAATCCCCTTTTTATACTTCAGTTATGCTTTTGTTTCTGTTGAATAGGAGTATAAGACCTTAATTCCAATCAGATTCACGATGATAATATTCCCGAATCAAGATTCTAATAACAGGATGGTCTCTATATAAATCCGGTCCTTTGAGTTGGGTTTTTTTAATGAATTAAGTGGGAACTAAATCCCAGATTAACTTTCCATTGTTTATGCCAAAAAGTAAATAACACAAGTGCGAACGTTTTACGTTAAATTACAAAGGGAATTCGCTTTATTACCAAATCAAGATCTAGTTATGGGCTCGACACACACATTTAGAAGTTCCTGCAAGGCAAAGAGGAAAGGATTACTAAATGTCCATCAAGGAAGAGGGGAGCACCCAAACACACTCACTTGGTAATGAGGCCGTCCTTCTTGGCCAGACGCACGATGCAGTCGTCGGACTCGCCCATGCGACGGATCTCGCCGCAGATGGCGTAGGTCTTGGATCCGTCGGTCTGGCGACCGGTCTCGGGGTCCACATCCACGATGCTCAGCTGCACGGAGGCGTGGTCCTTGGCGTGGATGATCCTGTTCGATGCCGAGCTGCAGGGGAAGGGTATTAGCCGAGTCAGTAATTCGTTCACCAAAATGCGCGGGGAACACGTGTTTCACTTACCACTTGCGGGGCACGTACAGATCAACATTCTCACCGGCGTCGTTCTCCATTTTATTGGGCTGCAAGTTAAGGGAAAACAATTAGCTTGTTGATTAACTATTAAAAACAATGGCCAACGGCAATTAACTCACTTTTTTGTAGAAATTTACAAATCTAGCGACCGCAACTCGTCGGTGGAGGCGAAAAAGAGAAAGAAGTGACAGCTGGACGTGAAGTTGGCTGCGCTGCGCATGGCGCGCTCTGGCGGAAGTTTTGGGTACTACTTTTGGGGTGACCATTTATTATATTTTTACTGTCTGTGGTATTTTTTAATTTAAGCATTTTATTTGATTTTCCTTTAAGTTTTACTGCTAAAAATTTACCTAAAGAACTGGAACATTAATTTCTAATAAAATGTTTTTTTTTTTTCCTTGGCATAATATTATTTTTACTTTTCCTAGAAATATTTTAAAAAAAAATTCCATCGCTGCAAAAAAAGTTCATTTAAGTTATAAATACTAAATTGTATACTTCAGACTCAAAAAAAATAAACAAATAAGATATAAAAATAATTTGCAGTCCTATTGATAAATTTAATAAAACAAATAAAATAATTTAACATAGTATAGACTATTGTTTTACTAAAATGTATAATTTGATTTGAAATAAATGATAAGCCCTTACTTAATTACACATTATCCATATTTAAAAATAGGAAATGATTTATTTTTATTACTTGTTTACCTTCTTGCTGAAAGAAAAAATACTAAAATAGGATGCATGCCAAATGATGTGGACAATTTTTTACTTTCAGCGACTGGTCACACAAAAAAGAAAGCCTAAGTGTAGGCTATAAATTTCGCGACGGGAAAGTTCTATATTTAAAGGTGCATCAAGTAAATGTCTCCCATTAGTGCGCCCTAATACATTATTTGTATGTTCCTTCATCACGGATTCACTTTACTAAGCGTGTAAGTATTGATTTTGCGAAAAGTCAGCCTGTGATTGTTTCTGCTGGATGGGCGTTTTAGCGGACTTCCTTTGACCTCGCTCGATGTCAGCAGCGATTTTCGTCAATGGGAAGCGGATTCCGTTGGCTCCGCCACTTTTATTACGGCTTCGCGTGTGAGTGTGTCCACGGGTGGGTGGGAGTTGGAGTGGGCGGGATTGTTTTCATCGCGGCTTAATACGCGCCATGTCTCGGAATTCACAGTCCACGTTGCCTATTTATAGGCGTCGCAAATTTATACGCGATGTAAGCAATGAACTTTCAACAACGACGCGAGGTCAGGCACATTTGCTTGTCTACTGCACTTGCCCCAAGCGCGATCTTTCTCTGTCTAGGAGGAGAATAAAATATAACTACTTTGGAATACCCTCTATTTATCAGAAATAATATTTACTATTAATTAATCAGTATTAAATATGGATAAATACCCATAGATAAAAAATTAAGCCCTTTCTATTTTAGAACGAAATATTTTGCACACAAAGTAATTTAAAATTCTGTAGGCCTAAAAACTTTTAAAAATATTCTATAAAGTTCATAAAATTTTTACCATTTCCCAAGTTGTGAAACTTTTTACTTTTTTCGATATCCCTTGTGCGAAAAAAATGAAAAAGTAACTTTAAAAGGTGTCGATTCCAAAATATTTTTCTACACCTCTTTCCAAAAGATTTAGAAACCATAGTGAAATAGGTGCTTAAAACAGAGTTGACAACCATAAAAAAAGTTATTTTTCCAAACTTTTTTCGGCTAGTCATGTTAATCAAGGTGCTAAAACTTAGCCATAATTTCAGTCAGTCCATATGGTCTGCGATTACAGGGTAATAAGTACAAAAAAGCTGCACTCTCTCAGTCGCTTTTGAATTCAGTTTTCTCAGTTGCTCGCCAACTTTGAAAGCAATCGGTCCACTTCGCGTCGGTTGATTTTAAAAATCCCAAGCGGCGTGACTTTTGGTTTCTAGTTGATAGTTGTGTTTTTGTGTTTTGGGACTGAAACTTCTTGAGGTGAGATATTCACAAGTGGTCGGGTGGCTTGGCTGACCTTTTGCCAGTGCAAACTATGAAATTTTTGCATAATATATTCGCGTCGAGCTAAGTTCAGGCGAGAGCAAAAAGATAAAATGAAATGAGATCATGATAACGTGAGATGCTATTTATAAGCTGAAAAAAAAAATAGCTAAAATCCCGAGACCCATAATAAAGCATCAAAATGGTGAATGAAACGAATTGAAAGTGAAACTAATCATTGTGCTCGTAATAATACAGAAATTTATAAAAATAATTGTGGTAAATTATTATTATGACCAGTTTTGAAAAGCTATTGATCATTTGGGAATTTAAGTAAACACCTAATGGCTGTCCGAATAATCTTATCAGTTGATTTTACCCTGAAGCATAGAAATTATCGTACTACTTATGTGTATGGCTAGCCTATAGCATTTAAAACAGATATCATATCAGTTAGCTTATCTATAAGTACTAAAACATATGTACAAAGTTTTAATTTATATCAAAACCGGCTAAACTTTCCCAAAATTCGAATACTGTTAAAAGCGATATTATTCTTTAATTTAAAAGATGCTAAAATGTTTTTGGTCAATTAAAATTCGACTATTTTGAGCAGACCGGTTTACGCACATAAGCTGTCTCTAACGGAATTTTCATGCTGACCATATTTGAGATATAATCCCAGTCCAAAAGAATGTTTATTTGAAAAGGGCAATTAAAAAATCGTACAAGGCAAAGGAAACTTTGAATTCATGATGTCAGCAGCACACATTGCGTGTGCCTGGCCTAAAAGATGATGAAGAAAAGCCCCATGGGGAAAGCCCAAAAAACTGAAACACTTTCTAGGTCAAAAGTTGAAAGGCAACACCACCAACCATGATGCTCATAAAAAAGTAAGAAGAAAAAAAGGAAAATCAGAAAAAGTGCGACTGCATGAAATGCAATTAATAAAGCCATGTACAACAAAGTAAAAGCCCTCAGAAAGAAAAGAAAATGAAAATGCTTCACTTTGACTGGCTTGTTGCGTGCTGATTGAGCCAAGTCATACCTCATCTGAGAAGCCGCCTGTCAATTTCCATGGGGAGTTCCTATTAACAACAGAAAAATTACAGCATGCAAAAAAAATTAATAATAGTTTTGCAGTCGCAACAGGGGAAATCGCATGATGTGCAGAAAATTACACAAAGCCTATACTTTTAAGAAAAAAGGGGAATCTATAAAAACGGTACCTAAACAATTTCTAAGTCGTGTTTGGGTTAAATAAAACCTATGGATAAACTTCATTTATGAAATAGAAAATTACATCAAAGTTAAAAATTTATTAAAATGATGCCCCCATTTAAAGCCATTTAGCTACCGTATCGATCTGAATGAAACTGCATTTATCGTGAATAAATTATTTAATTGGTCTTGTCAGGATAATTGCCAGTTATTATTGAAAGGGGAATGTAGTCTATAAAGGTACCTAAAAATTAAGGAGAATTCAGAAAAGAACCATGATTAAAAATAATTTGATATTATTTCTTCAAGGCACTTGAAAAATTAAATGATTTCTAAAGACTCCCAAAAAACTAAGCAGCACCTTTCACCCAACCTTAGTTTTTCCAGCTTTCTTAGTTTTTCCAGCTTTTTCCCGGGAACACCTCCCAATTTGATTGCAACTTTTTCTTTTCCCTCCTTTTCCGCACTTATAATTCTAAGCTTTTGAGAACGAGAAACCTGTTATATCCGCAGCAACTTAATTTTAATGTGGCCCGTGCCTTTTGGCTGTGCTCTTTTTCTCCTCAATTTGCAGCGCCTGAGTTTCGGGAACTGGTCGCTTGGAATTAAACTTCAACTTAGACTTGCACTTGGACAATGATGCCGCATCCAAAGTTGCCCGATGTTGTTGGCGCGGCTGCTGGTTTTGTTGTAATTTGATTTGGTGCCACTTGGCTAGCTGATCTTGTTGCCATATCGCTGTGGGCCAGAAGTTGTTGTTGCAGTCGCTGGAGGGGCAGCAGCAGCAGCAGCAGCAGCGTTACAGTTCGGGAAAATCGGTCAATGGAAACGGGCTTGTAAGCAGGTGCAATCGCTAGTAGAGCCACAAGACAGAAGAACCAGAGGCCAGGAGAGATTGGAGAGCCGCAGGCATGTCGCTAAAGGTAAGTAAATGCTCAAGTATTGACCCATATAGCATTTAATTGACTCATTCGAATCGAGTTTGATGGCTCTTTAATAGGAGTTGCCAAATGGTCGAAAGGAGTTTGGAGAAAATACCTATAAAATCTAAAAACAACCTACTGTATTTCTCTTTTTATTGGTTAGGTAGCTAATGCTTACATTTAATAGCTCAAGGCAATGAACAATTAAAAGTAAGAGCTTAGCAAGTGCTCACTAAAAATAATAATTAAAAAAAGAAAACAAAATAATAAAAGTGAACAAAGAGAAAATGTAAATTAAATTAAAAGAGTTCCTTTGTATCCTTACATGTATTAAGAAAAGTTAAAGTATGAATCATGGCTTTAATAATTTGCAATCAGATCTTTTATGCCCCGATAATGTCAGAAGCTTTAAAAGTGTTTCTCACCTGCCTTACTTGCTACTTGCTACCCATGAATATAAATATCTTTGTCGTCAGCATCAGAAACGTGATTATCACGATGGCATCACCGTCTTCGTTGTCATTATGTCACTTCAAAGTGCAGAAGCATTTGCATTGTTTCTCTGTCGCAACTTGAGTCACGTCATTTTCATGTGAGGGTTTTCACTTGTCTTTGCCTTTCAACAGGTGCTTCAGACCCCACTTCATCAATGCCTCCTTCTACCTGGCAGAAAACACAACACACTCACATACTGACGGGCCCATCTGGGCCACTTAATTCGCTTCATTAACGCAATGTTGACATTTCAGCCGCATTTAGCTTGAAAAAATATTTATTACATTTCCCCTTTTTGCACAAATGTTCATGGACTGCAACTTGGGTGACCGTCGTTAGTGCAGGTTTCTGGGGAGATTGGTATGCGATTTAACCCTCGAAAGGTTTCAAGGGCTTAAAATCATTTATTAAATTTAATTGACACTGGTAGAAAAAATACAATGGGTTTAAAATGAATCATAATATGCAAAAATATATTTTAAATCTAAAACATTTGATAATTTTTTAGACAAAACAATTTTTTTTTTTGCCACATTTGTAAAAAAATCCATGGCAATAAATATTTAGTAAATGTTGTTTAATAAAATATTATTATTTTAAAATAAATTTAAAATTTGTTTTAATACGACATGTAATCTTATTAATTTTTTTATTTTCTTTAGACCCTTGCCCATCTAAGGGTTATGATGTATTTTGAAAAAGAAAAAATGCTTTTAATGTTGTCTGATGTTTCCTCTTTGAAATAACTATTTTTTGTTCGTACTGCTCTGACCCTAATTACTGTAAACAGGAAAAGTAATTTCCCCACGTGGCGCTCCGAATGGGGAAGCTTTAAAGTGGAAACTGGGTGTTTGGCCAGAGGGCTTTGCAAGGGGCGTGGGTATCACTTCCCCAAATATCTCTTTATTTTGACAGCTGCTGCAGGCCAATTTTATAATTGATTCGATTCTGTTTTCGATGCCAACAGAAAGAGACGCCCTCGGATGTGCAACTGCACATGGCAGCCATGAGGGGAGATGAGGTGGCCCTTCTTCGAGTTCTGGACAGCGGAAAAGTCCATGTCGATTGCAAGGATGAGGTGAGTTATACAAAAGAAATGCACACTTTAATGACAATCAACAAATTAAGATTATATGACTGGTTATATAAATTCGTGTTAACTTTATGCACTTTAGTTTTGTACATGCGATCGTTAAAGCATGACACATGCGACTTCAAAGTGCTGTCAGTAAAATATTACGAAACTTTAGCCAAAAAAATTTTGTTTAAAGACTTAACCACGTAAAAATCAGTTAACACGTCGTTGCTGATTTAAGTACGCACCAATTGGTAAGGAAGACGAAAATGCAGCAAACGTACAGCCGACCAAAACAAAAGCGAAAATCTGTGTTTATTTAAAAAAGAAATACGAATTTTAGGTACTCTGGATTTCAAAAAAATTCCAATATATATTTTTTGAAATTTATAGAATCATCTCAATTTTAATTAGAGAAATATTATTGTAATTAATTCTGAACACTTAACAATATTTAATGGGTACCTGATTATTCTTTACTTATTATTCATCTGGATAGCTAATGAATGATGTGTATAAATTTTAATCACCAAGTGAATATACCACTTGTTAATTCCAAACATTTAAGCAACATTTGAATACTCTTAGGTAGTGTATAAAAAACGAAATTAAATTTCCCTGGCCGCTCAGCCAAGCATGGACTCAAGTCCAAATGAAAGGAAAGTGGGCTGCGGGGGCAGTGTGCCATCCATCCCATCGCCAAGTATTATATTGTATTATTATGCCAGCTGGTCTGCAAGAGTCCGCGGATAGGGCGGTCACTACGTGACTCCCCCATTTGGACTCAGACCGAGTGCATCGAGAGCGATTTGCAATTTGTGGCGCGATTTTCCCTCTGGGATATGCCACAATTTTCTTTCTGCTTTTCTTCTGTTTGGTTTTTGTCGAGTCCGAGCCAGAGACTTGCATGCAAATCCGCACGAAGCGATTTAGCGTTGTTTGGTGAAACTAATCGCAATTTGCTATGCAAATCATTTGATGGCCAATTAAACAATTAAAACAATTGCTTTTTCACTTATCGCTTTGGAATTAAAATAAACGTAGATAAGCAGTGAATTTGTGACGACTGACGAGTGTATTATTTTCGGAGTTAGTGGATTGGAATAATTAGATTTAATTTATCATAATATTAATGTTTATCTCGTTTTGATTGCTGAAAAACGGAAATAATTAGAAAGATTTTTAACTAGACAAAAACCAATTTTAGCTAGTTGATAACCATCACGAAATGTTCTTAGAATTTTTATAGAGTTTTATTAATTAAAAAGTTGTAACAATTAATTTGTAGTCCGTAGTTCTGATAGATCAATTTTCAAAGATAACATTATAATCAAAGTCAAAGCTCGACTGATTTTTGAGGAGCTGATTTTCATTTGACTGAAGTGAAAACACTTTTTAATTTTTAATTTACGATAAGAAACTCCAAGAACCAGTGCACCTACAATTACAAATATTTAAGAACCCCTGTTAAATCTTCTTTATTTCTTATATTATTTCCAGGATGGAACAACCCCGCTCATCCTGGCTGCCGCCGGAGGTCACACATACTGCGTAATGGAGCTGCTCGATCAGGGAGCCGATCCCAATTCGCGTCGTCTCACGGGCACCACGCCCCTTTTCTTTGCCGCCCAAGGCGGTCACCTGGACGTGGTCAAGATCCTGATGAAGGCGGGCGCCAGTGTGGACACGCCCTCCGCAGACGGGGGCACGCCCCTTTTTGTGGCCGCCCAAGGCGGTCATGTGAAGATCGTGCGCGAGCTCTTGGATTGCGGAGCGAATGTCAATGCCCACATGAAGGTGCGTTGGGTCGAGAATATTTTTTTATATTTCTTAATAAATAATAATTATAAAATGTATTTAATTTCCTATAGGATCGGGCTACCCCCGTATTTATCTCCGCCCAGAATGGTCATCGCACGGTTCTGTCTCTGCTAATTCAAGCCGGTGCCGAAATCGATATCAAGCGGATTGACGGCGCCACGCCCCTTTGGATAGCCGCCCAGATGGGCCAGGATCACATCTGCAAGGTGCTGCTGCAGAATGGCGCCAATGTCGATACTGTGCGTTGCGATGGCGCCACGCCCCTTTTCAAGGCGGCCCACAAGGGTCACGCCGCCGTCATCACGGTGCTGCTCAAATATCGTCCCAATCTCGGCCAGCTGCCCAATGGAGAGAGCGCCCTGCATGCCGCAGCCATGTTTGGCCACATGACCGTCTGCAAACAGCTGGTGGCCGCCGGCAGCGATGTCCTGCTGAAGAACCAAGATGGACTCACGGCCCTGCAGTTGGCGCACCAGCAGAAGTATACCTCCATCTGTGATTATCTCCAGGAACGGATCCGGACAATGGTGGCGCGCAGCGCCAAGGCAATGGTCGCCTCCGGAGTACCGTCGACGGTCAAGACGATGTCGGCGTAAGGGGATGTACGAGTTTGAGAGACCACGCCTCCAAAGTACCTTTATGCACAATACCTTGGCCCTTTTGCTTATATTCAAAAAGTGGCAAGGGAAGAGAGTGTTATTCCGGACACTGGGCAAACGAAGGGGGATTTAAAAAGGGGTTTCCAATGTTTTCGAAAGCCATTTGGAGTGAAATTTAAAGCTAGGTGATGAAGACAGGAAAGACAGTTTTGAAATCGGCCAAAAAGGTGCTAAAAAGTATGAAGAATATATTAAAAAATTTTAAAAATATGGTTTCATACTTTTCGACACCTTGGTAATTCAAAAACTCCAGAGATATGTCACACCCTCGATAAGCTTTCATTCATCAACCGATGAAAAGCAAGAAGCAGATTAAAATAAACCCCAACTTGAATTGCTCAGTGAAACACTCACTTCCGCACAAAAAAATAACCAAAATAAAAGAAACCACTAGTAAAAACACGTCCAAACTAAACTTAATGGCCTCCCCCGAAAGGAAACCAAACTATTTAATAGATAAGCTGTATCATTCATATTAAAAACCACTTGGAGCTTGTATTTTGAATTTAACATTAACCATAACAATAACAATAACGTTAATGATAACAATTACTATAAAAATGTTAACATGGACCCCGAAAAGAGAATGTTACACTGTCCTCTGTACATACCCACATATATTTAAACGTATATTTATAATTATACCTAATGCTATTTATAGACCTACTCTACCCTAAGCAATTGTTGACAAGTGCTTTAAGTTTAAACGCCTTTTTGTCCTTAAATTAGCCATTAGTTACACTCAATGGTTTTCTGCTTATTTTCATGTAAAGTAGATACGACAATTAATTAATTTCTTACTTTATTACAATTTAAGTATAGTCCACAATTTTGCAAGTTTAATAAATTGACACACGATCAGTGAAGAGTTTTATTTTGGACGAATTTTAAAAGAGTGATTCAATGGGAGCGGTGGAATAAATAAAGTAACAAACCAAATTCGACATATTTTTAAATGTTATCTCATTTTTGTAGGCAAGTGTTAGTCATGGTACTTTGAGCTTTTTCTTATCTGAAGTTTAAAACTTGGCTATAAAGCTTTAAAATTCACCAAGCTTATCCATGAAAAGAGAAATATTTAAAAATATCACTTCACATTGTCATATTAATTATTATTATAATTAATTTTTATGAATTTATTTTTGATTTATAATTTTTAAGTCATCAAAAAAAATTTAATAATGAAAAATGCTTTTAATCTATTACATGGAAGTTTATTATTCCATAAGTTCGAGTTCTTTACTATCTTCTGTTGTTAAATTTGTAATTCCATTCTTTTGCATCTAAATGTATTTTTTAAAGATGTACATGTTGATTTAAATACTTTGTAAAAGTCTATTCTAAGACACTTCAGTAAAAAGACCTATATTCCAGTATCTTTCTCCCTTCATTGGCTACTTTCCAAGTTATGTTTAATCAACTGTTTTTGATAAAATATACCTGAAACCATTTGATCAGCCCCAGACTAAGCTTATACCGATCAGTCGGCCAACAAACGCATTCGGGCGCAGTTCGAGCTGAAAATAGAACCTACAAGTCTTGACGTATTTCTAAGATATTAAGAACGTTGGTGTTTGTACAAGTGAACTTCTTACTTTTTTGGGCCATTCCCGTTCCCAGTTGAAAGGGAAATTTGAAGTGACCTAAAATATTTGGTTGAGAAAAGTGCAAAAATGACGAGTGCAAGTCTTTTATCGCGTTCTCTTATCACAGAAGGTGCTTAAATTTGGGTTTTTATTATGAAAATAACTAAATATTTTATCAGGAAATTATTCAAAAACACTGAAACAATTTAAAAAAATTTGGATTTTTTTTTAGAAATTTTCCTAACCTATTGACTTATTTCAGCTCCTCGCTCAAAAAATCGCTCGGTGTTCACGCTGATCGTGGGCTTGGTGGTTGGCTACTGCATGGCGCAGCTCTTCTCGAGAATTTCGCCGCATGAGAGTCTGTATCCGTATCTCAGTCGCCGCCTCAGCCTTCCCAGCGATTCAACAAGTGGCCATCCAGGAACCGGGACGCAATCCCTTCTCGCACGATCATCCCAATGACAATACCACCGTAGCCGAGCAGCTCAAGAAGGAGGTTCGCGTCCTCTGCTGGGTGATGACCAATCCCACGAATCACAAGAAGAAGGCTCGCCACGTGAAGCGAACGTGGGGCAAGCGCTGTAATATCCTGCTCTTCATGAGTTCCGCAGAGGACGATGAGCTGCCCACGGTTAAGTTGAATGTGGGCGAGGGCCGTGAGAATCTGTGGGCCAAGGTCAAGGAGGCTTTCAAGTACGTCTACAAGCATCACTATAACGATGCCGACTTTTTCTACAAGGGCGATGACGACACTTATGCGGTGATCGAGAATATGCGGTACATGCTTTATCCGTACAGTCCCGAAACCCCCGTGCATTTTGGCTTCAAGTTCAAGCCGTTTGTGAAACAGGGCTATATGTCCGGTGGAGCGGGCTATATACTCAGTCGGGAGGCTCTGCGGCGATTCGTGGTCGAGGGCATTCCGAATCCCAAGATGTGCCTGCCGGGAACGGTGGTTAACGAGGACATCGAAATCGGGCGCTGCATGGAGCATCTGAATGTTACGGCCGGCGATTCCAGGGACGAAATCGGACGAGGACGTATGTTTCCATTTGTCCCGGAACACCATTTAATTCCGGCCAAGTGGGATAAGAACTTTTGGTACTGGAACTATCTCTTCTACAAGACTGATGACGTAAGTTTGGTTCTAACTTTATTCTTAGGTTAAATAATTATAATAAGAGGTCTAAAATTTTTTATAATTTACTTAATTTAATTTATGATTTGAAATTATTTTTTAACAGGGTCTAGATTGCTGCTCGGACTTGGCCATAATTAATTTATATAATTTAATTTATGATTATTAATTATTTTTTTATAGGGACTAGATTGCTGCTCGGACTTGGCCATCTCCTTTCATTATGTGGACCCAAAAGATGATGTACGTGCTGGACTATCTTATCTACCATTTGAAGCCATACGGCTTGATGAGATCTCTAGAGCCTCTGCCGGCCAAACTCAAAGTGGGTCAGTTGCTGCCACCTCCCGTGGAGCGACCTCATGGCTAGTAATGAGGACTCTGTGGATGATTACGACAGGATTTACACGACCACAACTGTTAAGCCCAAGGAACCGGATGCAAGGGAAATGGACTCCAAGGAGGTGGAAAAAGAAGAGGCAAAATATAGGGAAAAAGAGGATAAAGAGGAAAAGGATCATTCACGAAGATCTGACAATGACTCGGAGTTTACTGAAGAGGACAAACATAAGCATTCCAAGTCCAAAGAAACTACTGAAGAATAGTAATATTGCATTACGGCTATAAAGCCAAGACACTTCTCAACCTAAAACGGGGTTTACTTTCAGTCATAAGCGATATATTTAAAAATTCAAATTTGTTACTTTTTAAACATGTTTTTCGGTTGTCAGTAAGAATGATACGATTTTGTATAACTGATTTTATTTAACAATGGTCTTTTAACTGAATTCTTTGTAAAAATCTACTTTAAATCTTAAGTTTAAGAACCTTTCTAATGGCTGTACAAACAGACCTATATTCGTGTAAAGTAAATCAATAAAGATTTCATTTACCTATTTAAGATTTCTAGCTAATTCTTTAATAGGCGTAGTCAGCAGGAACTTCGACTGTAAAGTTAGTTTGTTGTGCTTCCTTAAATCTCCTTCCAATTTGGCGGGGCTATACTTCTCCGGAAGAGTCTCGACAGGAAGTTTCCGACCAAAAGCCCTCAATCTATAGATCATATACTCGAAACAGTGAATATAGCGATGCTGAACGTAGTGAAAGGAAACGGCATAGTTGGACCAGGCAAAAATTCCCTAAAAAAAAATTAATTTGCATTGTGAAAAGTTTTCTATAACCAGATAAGATTACCTACATCTTGGGTCCTGTCGGCTAGATATTTCCAGAACCAAAACTTTGGGTCATAGCGAAAGTAGGTGTTCGATCTGGCCTGCGGTTCGATGAGGTGCATGCGTCTGCGTCCCTTGGAATCGTATGTTCTTCCCGCCATTACATTGGCATTCTCCAGGCACTCCGACAGTCTTCCCCCGCTGGGACCCGAGTCTTTCTGCTCGCACTTCGATGGATTTGGCAGAGAGATCTCCACAAAGCGACGCAATGCCGCCCGGCTCATCACAGTGCCCGTGGAACCGAAATAGATGGCCATCTCTGGGCTATACGGATACACCATGTAGCGCAGGTTCTCCATCAGCACATAGGTCTCGTCATCGGCCTCCAGGAACCAATCGGCATCGCTCAAATGGTGATCATAGAGGTATTTCAGAGCACTCTTCGTTTTTCGCCACGACTCACGATTTTTGGCGCTAACGTTCAGGGCCACGGATCCCGTTAGTTTGGCATCCGTTCGGCTGGTAAAAAAAATTAACTTGTTGCAACGCCTGCCCCAGGTTTCAAGAACCGCCTTTGCCTGCGTCTTATGATTACTGGGTTTCGTATACACAAAGCACAAGACTCGCACTTCTTCGCTCAAATCGATATCCAATTGGGACGTCGTGCGGTTCGTTTGCGATTTAAGGTCTATAATCGGCCACAGGACCATCTGGGTTATCAGGTAACCAATTCCTATGCCCAGGAGCAGGAAAAGCACTGGACGCGATGATGATGGCGAACCTGAATGCTGTTGATAGTGGTTGTTCCGGTCCAGAAAAACACACTCCTTTCGCTCCATTTTTACAAGTACTGCGGATTTTCTAAATAAGTTTAAAATATATATTTTTCTCATCGTCACGGCTCATCAGTTATGCCCAAGTTAATTTAAATGTTAGCCAAGTCTTCTGTGAGGCAAATTATTCTCTTAAGTTATAGGACTATATTATTACACTGTTACAAAGAATATCTGAATTAAATATATTTATATTTTTTAGTAAAATTAAAGTGATTTTGAAATTAATAAAAGGTCAGTTAAATGTACGTCTTTTTCGGAAGTTTAAACATAATTTCATGCTGTACGATTACTAAAGGAAAACAATTTAATAGAAAAAAATATATAGTTTTATTCGACATAAATAATATAATAATCATTTTTTACTTAACCTTTAACTTCCGCTTACTCATTTGTTTTTTCGGGAATTCCACCAAAAGACTTATCTCACTTTATTGAGTGTATTTGAATACATTCTTGAAAAATTTATTTCAGTTTTTCTGAGTCTTGAATTTTTAAAACTTTTTGTAAACTTCAAGAGCGCAACTTTGTTTAAAAGATTTAAATTAAAAAAACTACATGCTAGTGTATTTAAATTTTTTAAAATTTTTAATATCAAAAACTCTAAAACATTAAAAGTGCATTTTTATGAAGAAGATGGATTCAAATTTTACTTATTCAACAAAAGCTTAATTGAACTATGTTTTCTGGATTTCTGCCTTCAGAAAAATCCAGAAAATAATAATTGTATAAGCCCTAAGCGTATGTATTATCAATATATACCAGTGATTTCGGTCTTCCACAGACAGTCTCATTGAATCTTTCCGACCGCGAGTAAGCCATGATTCAGTACTGGGTGATTAAAAGCTCCTTAATTTTGAGCTGCTTTATCTTACTATTTGCCTTTTTCTGTGAATATTCCCAAAGGACTTATCTCACTTGAATGCGTATCAAAATGGATATAACATGTATACGGATTTTTTTGAAAATCCAATCCACTTATCTTAAATTTATCTTTTTTTAATTAAATATGACCCCATTGCCTTATGAAACTTTTTTGTAAGCTGACCAGAGGCAACTCTATTCAAAACATTTAATTTAAGAAAAACTACATGTAATAAATTTGAATTCTCTGGAATTCCTAAAATATTATAGCCTAGAAACGAGGTATTTTTTTAAAAGTGCTTTTTTTGTTTTTCTTTCAACCAAAGCAAATTGAACTTGTAGCAATCTGAGAAGAATACGAAAACAAAATTGACGCCCATTAAGCGTAAATATTTTCTATGTATCCAGTGATTTGGTCTTCCACAAACAGCCATGGAATCTATCCGAACGCGAGTAACCCATGACTCAGTCTGGGTATGCTCTCCTTTAAAGGCTGTTTCTGTTGCCGATTAATGTGAATATTCCGGATATCAGTGAATTGGCTATTTAACGGATTGAAAATACAGTTCCAAAGGACTTTTCTATAATCCACCTATGCCCCAACATATATGTATGTTATACGGAAGTCTAGCAATCCTAAATTAGATCGCAATATGAACAAACTGGAACTTGGTGTCCAAATTTGTAGCCACCATAGGTATTTTCAAATCGTTTCCCCTAACAAAATCAATCTGGTTACCAAAACCAACCGGCCCCCATTACAAACTATTTTCCAACTACAACCACCAGAAACTATTACCAACCCACAACCACCACCCAAAGGCCCCAAAATGGAAACCAACCTTATGACTATAGTGAAAATCAGTTCCAAAGGACACTAAATCCACCTGTGCCCCAAAATATAAAGTTATACGGAACAGCAAACCAAGCTCCGCCCCAAACTAGAACCCCAAATAGGACACTAGTCAAAGATTCCCCTGGAAACTACTACCAATCGACACCCACTCCAAACTTTTACCCAACTACAACCACCAGAAACTATTACCAATCCACAACAACCACCCAAAGGCCCCAAAATGGAAACCAATTCCCATTCCCAAAACCCACAGCCTGGGGCCAGCCTGAAAATCAGTTTCCCAAGGACAACAAATCAATCTGTGCCCCAAAAAAAAGTGTTATTTTCAACCACAGCAGTACAAGCTCCGCTCCAAACTGGAATACCAAATCTGCCACCAATCAAAGACTCTGCTTTAGATAATCTTTGTGGCTTGGGCAATCCCAGTGGTCCTGGTCAATATCCCTGGGTGGTGGCTCTATACAAGCGTGGTAATTACATTGGAGGCGGTTCTCTGATTGCCCCCGGAGTTGTACTAACGGCAGCCCACCTTGTGATGAATATATCCGCGAATGAAATTGTGGTCAGAGCTGGCGAATGGGACATGGCTTCCACTTCGGAACAGTTCCGTCATGAGGAGCGCAGTGTGGTAAGAGTCGAGCCACACGAAGACTTCTCCTTCGAGGCTTCGACTAACAACATAGCCCTTCTATATCTCAAATCGCCCCTCGAACTGAAGGCCCACATCCGAACCATCTGTTTACCAGGAGAGGGAAAGACTTTCGATCAAAAGAGCTGCCTAATGGCCGGTTGGGGAAAACGTTCGTTTCAGGATCCCTACAATTCGAGTAAACAAAAGTCAGTGGAGATGCCCATGGTGAAGAGAGAAGACTGCCAGAATCAGTTCAGGCGAACTAGGTTGCACCGAAACTTTGAGCTCCACGAAAGCCTAATTTGCGCCGGCGGGCAGAGGGACAAGGATGCCTGCACTGCTGATGATGGATCCCCTTTGTTCTGTGCCCTGGATAACGATCCCAATCGCTACGAACAGGCGGGCATCGTCAGCTTTGGGATCGGCTGTAGCCAGGCAAATGTTCCGGGAACCTTCACAAATGTGGCCATGTTCAGAGATTACATCGATGAGAAATTGGCAGGTGGTACTTTCGAGTTGTAGGAAAAAATTATAGTTTAAATAAAAAGCATACAAAAAATAACAATTAAATGTGTTTAAATTCTTTAAAGCATTTATATATTATATATTATATTAAAAACTAAACTTAATATAAAATGTACTAAATAAATGTAACTAGGTCACAAAATGCACCTTTCTAAAGTTCTTAAATAATTGAATAAATAAATTTTTTTATTCCTCGAAATGTCGACAATTAAAACAAGTCGACCTAAAAATATAAATCTAATCACTTTCCAAGAAATGACCACCAATTAAATTTTATGTATTCAAGAGCTCAAGAATTTCCCAGCATAATCAGTGCATACTGTGGATTGGAATTTAGATTTTTATATTTGTTGTTGTGTCACATTTATTTCTTATCTCTAGAGCCAGATGAGTTGTCACCGAACAATACAGGCATTTTAAGAGTCTGTTGTCGAGAGAACGATGTCACGACTGTGGGCGCCTGTGGCTTTTTCTTTGGCTTGCATCCTTCTTAGCGATGCCCACAAATGTCCGAGTACCAACCAGTGTGTTCCCAAGGAAAATTGTCGACTAGAGGAGCCAATTTTTGACTTAAGTTCCACCATCGATTGCAGTGACTCAGAAGTCTGTTGTGAAAAGTCAAATGTGGTAAGCGGAAAGAGAATTAAAATAGGAGACAAACTTTTAATGTATCAATTTTGTTATAGATTGGCATAACCCAAAGACCAATGACCTTATCACCTGGTACCCTTTGTGGCATGAGTAATCCCAGTGGTCTAGATGAAAGCCGACAAGTGCATGGAGACCAGGCCAGACCGGGTCAATTTCCCTGGGTGATGGCATTGCTCCACAAGGGTCAGTACTTCGGTGGCGGTTCTCTGATTACTCCAGGACTTGTACTAACAGCAGCCCACATTCTGGTACGCAAGTCCCGAGTTCACATTAAAGTCAGAGCTGGCGAATGGGACTTGTCCACCACTGCAGAGATTCCTCCTCCCGAGGATCGCCAAGTGACCAAGATTATTTCGCACAAGGCGTTTAATTACAGCAGCGGAGCCAACAACATGGCGCTACTCTTTTTGGACTCACCCTTCGAGCTGAAATCCCACATCCAGATTATATGCCTACCAATTTCCGGCGAGACTTTTGAGGGAAGGCGCTGCACAGTTGCCGGTTGGGGAAAGAGATCATTTTCCGATGCCAAATTAGAAACCATACAACAGAAAGTCGAGGTGCCCATAATCGATGGTCTAAAGTGCCAGGATCAGTTGAGGCAAACGAGGATGGGCACGAACTATCAGATGCCAGACAGCTTGATTTGCGCTGGCGGGGAGCAGGGCAGGGATTCCTGCTCTCGATTCGGAGGATCTGCCCTTTTTTGCTCCCTCACAGATGATCCAAATCGCTTCGAACAGGCTGGCATCGTCAACTGGGGCATCGAGTGTGGTCAGGAAAATGTCCCGGCCACCTACACTCATGTTTCCAAATTCAAAGAGTGGATTAATCCGCATTTGGAGCAAGTCTTCAGCGTCCCAGGAGATCTAGTTTCTTCTATAAGCAGTCTTCTTTGAACATAATCTCAAAAATTAACCATTTTTCAGAATCTTTTCGATTTCTTTTCCGGAAAAATATATTCTAATTTGGAAACATTTCTTTGTATACCTACATATAACATACCTAAATGTTCTATATACAAATATTAAATATGAAAAAAAAACCAAAATAATTTTTTCATTGCTATTTTAGTTTTTATTGTATTGCGCTCTTTTTACTACTGCATATTTCCGTATATAAATGTACTCGTACATATTTTCAGTGTGTTTACTGATAACGACTTTAAAGATTCTTTGTTCTCGGAATACTGAATCACTGGAAAGAGAGCTCTCACAATATAAATATTTTATGTATTCATAATGATTTTACTTTCAGTCGTTAGGCTAGCAATGTCGCGGCGGGTTATTATTTTCAGTAGCCTTCTGTGGGTGCTGACTGAGGCGGGAGCACCTTGTGGCCCCCAGTTGGAGTGTGTGCCCCAAGGTCTTTGTAAGTTAAGCTCCTGGATTCCAAATACTTCTCAATCGCCCTGCCAGCGATGGGAAACCTGCTGCCACAGTTCTCAAGTGGTAAGAGTGTATATAGAACCAAGCTAAATATAATTTATAATTTTATATATATTCTTTTAGTTAACTGTCGGCGCCCCTTTAAACTGTGGCCACAGTAATCCCAATGGACTGGATAATACCGCGCAAGTTTCTCCTAATCAGGCAAAACCCAATGAATTTCCCTGGATTGTGGCGCTGATGGAAAAAACGGTGCATTTCTTTGGAGCCGGAACTCTGGTCACCGAAAATGTCGTGATAACTGCTGCCCATCTGATGGAGCATAGGACAGTGAATGATTTTGTGATTGCCGGTGCAGCTTGGGACTTGAGTCAACTGTTTAGACCCGAGGTGGTATCGCGATCGCCGGCTAGGATTATAGCGCATCCCGGATTTAGTAACATTACCGGGGCCAACAACATAGCGTTGATCATACTCGCCGCCTCGTTTGAGATGAAACCCCACATCGGAACCATCTGCTGGCCCACTCCGGGGATCTACTTCGATCGGGATCGCTGCATAGTGGCCGGTTGGGGAGTTCTTAATCCTCTGGTTCCAAATTATACCAATCGTCAGAAGAAAATTGAGCTGCCCATCGTGAGCAAGGATGTGTGCGAGGCCCAATTGCGAAGGACGAAGCTGGGCTGGGACTACCAGCTGGATCCCAGTTTGATCTGCGCGGGTGGAGAGAGGGGTCGAGATGCCTGCCAAGGGGACGGTGGATCCCCGCTAATGTGTCCCATTCCCGGTCACCCGGCGATCTTCGAGTTCGTCGGCATTGTCAACGGCGGCCTGTCGTGCGGAGAGGAGAATGTGCCCGCCCTCTACACGAATATTATGCAAATGAAACCCTGGATCGAAAAACATCTAAATGACGAACTCAACAAACCGTATAAGTCATTTCCCATATATAATATAGACTACAATTAGAATGAAAGGCAAGTCACAGGTGGAAAGGTATTTTAAATTATTATTATATAGCTATGATCTGAAGTCTTGCAGTCGAAGTTATAAAGATTCCGATTTAGAGAATCTGAGGAGTTGTTTCTAACAACGTAAAGGTTGTCATAAATCCTATTTTTAATAACAGAAAAAATGAAATTGTTGGGATTTTTCCAATTACTGATACTATCAACCTTGTTTTGGCTGTTTGCACTCGAGCTGTTGATATTCTGCAGCAGCACTACCTTTATAAATCTGCTTGAGCTGTTCCAAATACCCTATAAGGAGAGGGTTAGTGACTATGACATTGGTCTAAGAAGTCATCGCTGGGATGATGATCGGATAGCAAGGCTTCTGGGAGCAGCAAATTCGCGTTCATTGTCTAGTTTATATGGATCGATCGGACTACAAGTTCGGTGCTCAGAAAGCAATGCATGTCCGAAATAGTTGGGGTCGTCGGTGCAATCGACTGACCATTATCAGCAAAAGGAATGTCACTCTACTGGAGGCATATCGCCAGATTTATGTGGACTTTCACAATCAGTTCGACTGGCTGCTGGTCGTTTACTTTGGACTCCTATGTCATTATGGAGAATCTGCGCTTTTTGCTGGCCCACTATTCACCCTCGCAGGAAATATATTTTAGTGCCCAACATGAGGCCCAAATCTATGCCCATGTGGGTCAGGTCACCACCACCGATTATATCTTCAGTTGGGAGGCATTTGTGCAGTTGGCCACAAGGAACTGCCTGCAGGACGAGATTTTCCTCAGGGAGTGCTTGCAGCGAATGAAAAAGGCTCCCAGCGAAGCCCTCCTGTCTTTTAACGTCCCCGATGAGCTGATCCCTTACACTTTGCGCAACAATTTTTGGCTCTGGCCCTGCGCCTTTCGAGCTGCCTACGAGAATCAGGTGAGTTAACTTTAAATTTGTAAAATAAAGAAAGAAAGTTTTAATTTATGATTTTTAAAAAAATAATAAGTTAATAATATTATAAACGTTTGATAAATTTATTTATTTAATCCAATCTTTAGAGCTTGGAGGGCTGTTTTGGAGGAGCGATACTGTTTCCATATTGCAGTGCCATGCAAATGTATACCCTGGAGTTTTCGCTCTATCACCTGCGACCCTATGGCCATGTAAATCCCCTGCCGGAACTGAGTTCTTCAAGTTTTCCCATGACCATTGCATCTAGGCCATTAAACGATCGGCTGGCCAGGTATATGTATCGGTCGGTTAGGATAATCTGCCTAGTGCTGTCCTGCCCCAAGACGTACATGAGTGGCGTGAAAGCAGTTAGCGAGACCTGGGGTCGCCACTGCAACCGAGTGGTTTATTATGCTGGCTCTTCCCAAACCACTTTGTCTGGGGTGGAGATCGTGGGTCTGAATGTCAGCGATGCTCGCATAAATCTGTGGGGCAAGACAAAGGCAGCCTTTCACCATGCCTATAAGAATTATGGTCACGAGGCGGAGTGGTTCTATAAGGCTGATGACGATACCTATGCCATAATGGAGAATATGCGTAAAATGCTTAAGCCCTACTCGCCCCATAATCCCATTTATTTTGGGTCCCCGTTCAAGCTTAAGATCCAATCTTTATATGTCCGGAGGAGCTGGGTATGTCCTCAGCAAAAAGGCTGTGAAGATTTTGGTTCGCGGGGCAGCCAAGAATTGCAGGCCAGGAGATCAGGGCACCGAGGACTTGGATATGGGCATATGTCTACGGCTATTAAATGTGCAATTCGGCGATTCCAGAGATATTTTCGGTCGACATCGGTTCTTTTCACTTTCCCTGGAACACTTTCTTATACCTGATCGAGATGATGAAGACTTTTGGCTTAAGGAATATCTCTATCAAACAATTGGAACGGTAAGAAAAAAATTTTTTTTTTTTATATCTTTTAGATTTTTTACTTTGTTTTTTAATTTTTTATTTGCAGGGAATGGAATGTTGTTCCACCTATTCAATTTCAATACACAACGTATCACCCTACCAAATGCATTTTTTTGAAACGATTTTGTATAAAAACCGACCATATGGACTTATTGCTGGGCATCCTCCGTCACGAAGTTCAAGAAAAAATGGAAGCAGCAGTATAGCTTATGATGTTTTAATTTAGTTTAACAATTCTTTATATATCGCGACTTATATATATTTTAATCTATATCCATTTATTAAAGATACAACATTTTAAGACTTGGCACATATACAATTCAGTAACTTAATTCAAGGAGCAGTTTTGGATTGATCATTTACGATATCTTGGTCTTACTCTTTGGTTTTCTTGTAGTCAATATTAAACTAGATTGGTCCTAAAAAGTTTACAAGATTGGCTTTGGCTTAGTTGTGGCTTTTGGCTTTGTGGTGTTTTCTTCGGATACCATTTTGAGCTCAATTTTTGTGGTGTGAAAAGTGCTCCAAGATGACTTAGTACTCAAAATTATTTTTTTAGTTGGCAAATGATCTTGATCCTTGTTAATGCCCAAAATTCGTAACTTGTAGATAATATAGTCCAGCATGTAAAACTCAAGTGCGTTGTTAAAGTGAAACGAGATGGCAGTGTTTGAGCAGCAATCGGTGGTAGCCTACAAGAATTAAGAAAAAGTTGTCATTTAATGTCACACTTTATTCTAGATTTTCTTACATTTAGCGGAGTATAGTTGAGTAGAGGATACCAATTCAGAGGTGAAAAGGGAATGAATCGATTTAATCCTTGCTCATCCCTGGAATCTCCAGCTACAACTCCCACCGCCTTTAGACATCGTCCTATTTCCACATCCTCGTAGCCATAATTGCGGTTGGTGCAAATGCTGCTGTTGCTAAAGCCCAGCTTTATCAGCTGGTATAGGGCCATTTTACTCAGCACATATGCAGATCCAGCCGACGTATAACCCTGGATTAAAATTTGTTGATTACATAAACAGTCAGATTTATTAAATACAGTGCATGTATTACAAAAAGTGTAGAATACTTTTCGCCAGCAATATATTTAATTGCTTTATGTAAAAAAAAACCAACTTTTCTACTGTTCTACAATTTGGAAACAATTCAAATCATGAAACATTTAAAACAGTACCTCTTTTATATGAGTTCGAAATTTATCTCCAAAAAACACTTGGGTCTTCGGACTATAGG